TCATGATAGAACGAATCCAAAATAAGTTTGCCAGATTCATGTATTCAAAATCGTACGGTATATACCCTGGATACCCAATACCATATCCAACTTTGTTTGTACTGGGTATGGTAGGATACTACAAACTGGAGGTGAGGCGTGAAGTAGGTCTAGCTACTTATATGTTTAAGGTGTTGCGAGGTATAACGCACCACCCTGCCCTACTGGAGGAATTACGCCTGTGTGTTCCGAACGAGTACGTGCGGCGTAGGCGGCGGCCGCGGCTGCTGGTGGTACCGTGCGCACGCACGAACCTCTTGCAGAAGGCACCAATGACGCGAGCGTTGCGCATATTGAATGCAATAGCGGACAGTGCGGATATATTCTCGTGTACACTCAACGAGTTCACAAAGGTAGCATATGAGGTTGTTGTGAATAATAACTAAGTTCCTAGGATTGGTACTTATTTGATTCTAGTTATATAATTTATGTTGTTAGTACCCAGGTACATAGATTTTAAAATATAAGGACATATTTGTTATTACTAAAGTTATTTACGTTTATTAGGGATAGTTTTGTGGAAATGTATTAGCCTGTAAGTTTAATTAAGGTTCTTTGTGCTTATGTTCTTTTGTTTTTCTTTGTCTTAATTATTTTACGGTTATTACCCGGATATTGTGTTATAAGTTTACTAATAAGTAACTGCATTTATCGTATTAGGTGTGCCTGTAATGATGAATGTAATGTTTAAATAAAAATAAATAAATAAAAAAAAAAAAAAAAAAAAAAAAAGTAAGTCTTGGTCCTGTAATAATATATTCAACTTTAAAATTTTTTTTATGGGATAAACCGGTAAACGAGCAGACAGATCACCTGATGGTAAGTAATCGGCGTCGCCCATAAACACCTGGAACACCAGAGGTGTTACTAGTGCATTACCGGCCTTCTGGGTTTAGGAACTTGAGGATTGCTACGGATTCAGGGATGGGGGGGGGGAGGATAATTAGGCCACCGGTAACCTTATTCGGACATGACGAAACACAACAAAAATGTTGTTTCACATTGGTCGGACCTGGTACGACTCCGGTTGAGCTGGCCCATTCGTGCAGAAACATGGGTGTCTCACACATATATTATAATAGCTAATGTTTTTGGCGTAGTTAGCATAGGTGGCACCCGGGGCGGATTTTGTAAACCCCAAAAATCAATAGAAACTTTTTAAAATTAAAAGTAATTATCATTTTTGTTTTATTAAAATATGAGCATTGCAAAATATTTGTGTTATATGTGAAACAAATTTATGCCCGAATACTGAAACGTTACTCAATTTTAAGTCGCGCTTAAGCATAGTTCTGTCACTACAAAGTCTTTGTAAAATGACAGAGACAGCATGATATTTAAGCACGTCTTAAAATTGAGTAATGTTTCAGTATTCCAGCATTAGTTTGTTAAAAATTATCTTTCTTCTACCTTTGACTTGTAAACTCGGAAATCACGCCTTCAAATTTTGTATTGCTTCATGGTCTATCGTTAAAATACCAAGTTTGTTTAATCTGGTTTCAGTCATTGTAAACTGCAAATAATGTTTAATTAATTTTAATTTGCTTATGCTTGTGGTACAATATTCTAGTGATCTAAATTACTTTATTAGTGGTGGTTGTGCTATCTGCTACAGATTTACGATATTTCATAGGTAGAAAATCTTATTCTGATGTTTATAGTAGGTCCTATACGACCCCCTAAACGGGTGACATGAAGAGCGCCTTCCCCCCCCCCAGCTACGCCACTGAGTCTACTGCTAGACCACGGGTCTTTTCTACGGATTGCTGTATATTATATTCACGCTTGGCAGGGGCGTTAGAGATCTCGGTATTTTTTTTTTTGAGTGGGGAATCATCGAATGACTGGTTCCGCCTGGGTGAGGCGGGAGAGAGTGTCAGACTCTTACTGACTAAAAACCACCCTGTTCCTACTCCTATACGTCGAGCCGGAGCCCCGGTTACCCATTAGGTTCTCCGCGACAGAGATCGCAGTATTAAAGGTTCAAATAAAGAAGTTGCCCAGTCTGTTGAATGTGTACATGCTTCTACAATCAGCTGCAAAGATAAATACTGGGATAGCAGGGGACAAATGTATTTTACTCAGACGTCTCCACATGACTTCTATTTACGTCAATAAATGAAGCAAACAAGTTTCAAAGTTAATGTCATAAAATAGCATCATAATAAACAACAGTCAAGTTAAGACAGCAAACATAACAAAGTAAAATGCAATAAAATAACTAAAAACCAATAAAGATAATAAAAAACAAAATAAAATCGGTAAAAAACATACATTTTCGATCCTCTCGTCACCCCTTAGCTTTGTAAACAGTGTCTTCTGATGCCCAGTAATGTATGAAATTTTTCTTTCTGCACTCAAACAACCGTGGCATAACACCAATACACGTTCGCATTTAACCTTAGCTTCCATTTTAGTAATTAAATTAGATATTTTGGCACTTATTTTAATGATATCTCAAACATACTCTCTTACACCAATCGTACAAGCAACTCCAAATAATACTGAGTTTTGTTTTGACTGGTTTTGACATTTTTGACAGTTTAGTGAAGTCAGAAAGTAAAAAAACATCGGCTTTTTGCTGGACTCATGGTTATTGAGCTATCGATATGGACTTTTCAACATTTGGCGCTTTCAACTAATCCCCAGAACCGTTACACTTTCCGTAGAGTTGGGGTCGGTCCCTTTTTTTATTTTATTTTAATAAAACTTTGCCCCACACTAGGATTTTCTCCTGTGTCGTGTGTGCGTTTACAAACATACAAGTTCACATACACATGATACCCAGACCCAGAAGAACAATCTGAGGATCACATAGAGTAGTTCCGTGCGGGAATCGAACCCGCGACGAACCGTGCAGTCGTGTCCTGACCAGTATCTATTGTCTTTGAATTTTCTCTTAGCAATCTTATAACACGCTGCATGTTACACAGCTGGCTTCGCGCAGTAGTTCCAGCTTCCCCTATACTTAATTACTTATTATTTATATATCTATGCTCTTTGGTTACAGCTGTGTCAAAGTGTTTTTGGTATAATAAGTATAGAGGACCTATGTACAGACTGTAATTTTCGGTATTTTAATCCAATTCTTCAAAGCGTCGAACACTGGTGCAAGCCTTTCGGTTTTCTACCGGATACATTTCGATGAGTGTGCAGGGGAATTGAACTTGATTCCCCCTAGCCACAGGCACGAAGCGCTTCGCATCAAGCATGTACGTACTGCTAAGGAGTAGAATTCTATGCCAGAGTCTGTATTTGCTGAAGGGTATAACCTGGATGTCTTCAAGTTCCAAGTGAATAAGTTGCTTATGGGACGACGTGCTCCATCGTAGACCGTATTATCGTTTACCACCAGGCGAGACAGTGGTCAAAAGTCAAATAATTAAATAAAAAGAATAAAACAATTATTTAAGTTTTACAACGTGTTTTATTTATTTACAACTAGCCCCCTCCCTCCCCGGGTGCTATTTTTCTCATTTCCCTTTGAATGTAACTAATTATTCTTTCATACAAACCTTTTTTCGGGGGAAAATCATCCAATGATTGACTTCTCCCGCCTTAGGAGAGGCGAAAGAGAATGTCAGACTCTAACTGACTAGACACCACCCCCAAAGAGTACAATAAGTATAGGGGTTACCACCCCGTTCCTACGTGTTCGTTACCCAAGCCAGATGTTGTCAAAAATGGTCATTTGAATCTTATAGATAACTAGCAAACCCGGCGAACTCCGTTTCGCCACCAGATGGCTTCGTTTTATGTAACATTCTTTTTAAATTGCTATAAACCTCACGGAGCCCGAGACCTTTCCAACGAATGCAAAACCGTGGAAATCGGATCGTGCGTTCTGGAGTTATAGCGTCAGGAAGGAAACCCCGACTTATTTTTATATAGTAGATTAGTTGTGCGGCTTTTGTAATTGTTGCGCACATTTTTAAATTTGTTGCGTTTATAGTTTTTTTAATTATTTCACAAAAACATTTCCTGCTGGGGTAACGTTACCCCAGCCAGACCTTTTTCTTTCTAATGGGAATATTCAAATAATTACTAGCAATAAAATTAATGGGGTAGACGACTAATTTTTATTTTAATGTCCGTCTGATAGATTATTTAAAAACATTAGACACGTATTTTTTTATTTTCTCACAGAAAAGAATAGTTTCGAAGATATATTGATTTGAAATGTCGCGTGACGTCACTTCTCAGTACATTTTATACTAAGGAATGACGTTTTAGCCCCCACTCCTAAACTTTGATTAGTTTTATCTAAGTATTGTTTTATTATACGACAAAATAAAAAAATACGTGTCTAATATTTTTTCATTACCTAACTTACGGACTAATATTTTTAATTTTCATACCCTGTCATCATCACCATTGTCTATATGAAGTAATTGTTGTGCCTTATTTTGTGTTTGTTCTTTCATCGGTTGCGAGATTTTGCTGGGGTAACGTTTTTGGTTTTGTTAGATCTTTGAAATGGTTAAGCGGAATCTTATCATATTTTGTACATGGCTTCTTAGGAATTAGTTTAAATAAGTTCTGCAATAAAAAAAATATACAGCCGAATTGATAAACTCCAACGATTACAGAAGTCGCAAAACTATCTATAAGATTCAAATGACTATTTTCGACAAAATCTGGCCTGGGTAACGCACACCGTTCCTACTAGGTACTGTTGGGAGCCGGAGCCCCGGCAACCCGTTAAGTCCTCAGTGGCTTCGTATCTGTAGAGGTATACCTCTACAGATACGATAGATATAGGCACCATAGATGGCCCAGTAGGGCTTATAAGCCCTATTGGGCCATCTATGGTGGCTGATACGGCTATGTGAGATGCGCCCGGAACGCGATGCACCATACGAACGGGTTCATACAAACATTGTCCTATCAATGACGAACACGATAACAAATAATTATCGAATTTGGTCGAGCAGTTATGCGCTTACATACATTTCGGTAACTTAGCAAACATTTGTGGAAGACTGTGTGAGGCAGTGAACTTCTTGCGTCTGATGTGATGACGACGAGATGACATTTTTATGTTGTGTTTTCTGGTGTGTCATCATTGCTGTTTTTTGAGCGAAGGCCGCCGGACAGTATTGACATTTGTGGGGTCTCTCACCGGTGTGAGTACGTCTGTGGTTCACGAGGATACGGTTCGTCTGAAATAGCAGAGTTCAGAAGTCAAAGTCAAAGCATTTATTTCAATTAAACCATGGTTTGGTACTCTTAAAACGTCAACAAACACAAAATAAATAATAGTCTGTCAGTCAGTCCGTCAGTGAAACTAGGTGAAGCTAGGTGCTCATTCCAAAAAGTAGTTTCGAATGGAGAAGAACGAGCAAGAAACTCCATTCGTTACTCTTTTTAAAAATTATGTTCTACAATGTCTCTGATACATATTTCAATACTGTACGCATATGTAAGAACAATGCAAAGACACGCTTGACGCATTATACTAATAACTTACTAAAATTAAAAATAAAATATATAATCAGAAAATATATAAAATGAATCCTATTTCATACATACATATTTTAAGCATTTTCTCTTTTTGTTTAGTCAAATATTATCCTCATAAACCATGTGGTTTATGTACGTCTGTACGTACAGTAGCCAGTAGATCGACCTAATCTATACATAAACATATCAACAGCCTTTAATGCCCACAGCTGACCAAAGCCTCTTCTCACACGGAGAAGGTTTGAGCATTAATCTCCACGCTTGCTCAATGCGAGTGAATGATTTAAACTTATAATTAGAATTTATATGTCCAGGTTTCCTCACGATGTTTTCCTTCACCGTTTGTCAGTGGTGCGTAAATAATTTTAGAAAGTACATATAACTCGGAAAAAGTCACATTGGTACTTGCCGTTGGTAGGTTTCAGAACCGCGCCCACATGCATGAGACGCGGGCGTCTTAAACCTCCGTGCCACCACAACACTATCACAACTTGATATCAATATAATAATGTTGAATGTATAATAGAGAAAGACAGAAAAGGATATAATGATGATCTGCTGACCACCGTACACATACTGGTGAGTGACCTAGCAAATTTCAATACTGTCCACCGGCCTTCTATCAATGCTGAATATTACTTTATGTAATTTTAATTGAATAAAACAATTATTTAAGTTTTACAACATATTTTATTTATTTACAACTAGCCCCCTTCCCCCCGGGTACTATATCCTGTCCCTGTGATTGTGTCGAATTATTCTTAAACAATAATGAACACATTAGAAAATAAATAGTTACCTAACTTGGTCGAGTAGTTTAGCAGTCGTGCAATTACATTTAGGTATATTGTTCAGGCTTATTTATACATTAAAATACTGATCTCAATTAATTTTTAAATGTAATATCTTTATATCTATTATTTTGAGAAACCTTATACTGCAAATTTCATAGAAAAATATCGTTTTTTAATATGTACACATAAACGTTGAAAAAAAGGCGGACAAAGTCTCTTGGAACAAGTGGCACCTGGCTACTATAGGACATTCTTTACGACATCTAAAGATAGAAAACACTTTATTTCACACTAAAAAACAAGTGTCATGTACAGATGTGTTATTATATTAGTAGGTACTGATGTTGACAGCCTCGTTGGCCGAGTAGTCTCGGCTCGTGCAAAGTATTACTGGGTTTTAAAACAAATCCCAGTAGTAGCACGGAGTCTGGAATTGTGTTCGGTATATTACAGTAAGCTCACCCCTATTACATGGGACACGTAAAATAAATAATGAAAAGTGGGTGTTATATTGTATAGTCGCATTAAGTGCCGTAATGTGCATCTCTGCCTAGTCCTTAGGGGGTTAAAGGCGTTATGTGTGTAACTGACTAGGAACATTTCTGATATACCTCCTCTACATGACTCACGAAGTTGTTCGGTGAAGTATTCTTAGAAACTTTAGCTATATTCCGAAATGCGACAACAGACACTCGTTCGATGGGGCTACCGTTACTCACTAGATGGCGCAAAAGTAGCAAGAGTTGTTTTTGACGTGACAATGTCTTATAAATTGGTTTGCTGGGTGACACTTCAAGAAACTGCGTTACGCTCCGCTCACGTTATGCGCTCACAATGAGAGCGAGTGAGAGGCACGCATCCCTTCCACTCGAGCATGGTTAGCCCGCCTAAGAGCGAGAGAGACAGACATAAAAAGTAAAAGGCACGCGTCCCTTCCACTCGAGCACAGTTCATCCTTCTTCCTACTATACGAATGAATATTCACATTAAAATTATTTTACCACTCAAAGTCGTTGTCACGTTAAAACTTTCGCCCGTATACCAACTTTACAGGCAACCAATTTTTGTTCAATCACTGCAGCCGTCAAATATTGAATGTCCATTGGCGTGCCACTAGTTAATTCACTATTGGACGAAAATAGAGTCGTTCACATTAGCGCTATTTGGTAAGAAAACACAGTAGCGGTAGCCCCGTGTACGGTTGGACCACCGCACATTTTTCTGTTTACGCAGCAACCTACTTTAGGCTAAAGACGCGCGTACAATTTAGCGTAATAAAACAACATGAATTACGAATTAAAATATAGTCAACTTATAACTTGGTATCTATCAACAACTGAGAGAAATAATCGCTTTCATTCATATTGTAACTAGCTTTTACCCGCGACTTCGCTCGCGTCACAAAAGGATAAAAAGTAGCCTATGTGACATATACCAATACACACAGCGCCATCTATACCAATACTTTTGTTTTCCCTCGCGAATATCAATTTTTTCCGGGATAAAAAGTACCCTATTATTTAATCCGGACTTCTAACTTTACTTCTGCAAAAATTCAAAGCAATCGGTTAAGTAGTTACTGCGTGAAAGCGGAACAAACAAACAAACTCACTTTCCGATTTATAATATTATTAAAGTAACTACTGAGTGCAACTGGATGAAACTTGTATCTCTACACTACATCAACTTCATTTCTACTATAAATCAATGTACGGAGTTAACTACTATAACTCGTACACCCCATATGTGAACATTAGCTCAAGGCCTCAAGGTCGCAGGTCGTTTCTAACCTCGCGAAGAAATCATTGGGGTAGGACTGTGGGAGGCAGTGGGCTGATTGCGAGATGATTAAACCAAGTTTTTATGTTGTGTTTTCTGGTGTGTCAACATGGCTGTTTTTTGAGCGAAGGCTGCTGGACAGTATTGACATTTGTGGGGTTTCTCACCAGTGTGTGTACGTCTGTGGTTCATGAGGATATTATTTGTCTGGAAGAAAAAAATACATAAATTCACATCAACAACCTATAAATGGCTACTGCTGACCGAAGGCGTCCTCCCACACGGAGAAGGTTTGACTCGTATTAATCACCACGCTTACTCATGATTATAGTTATAGAATTAGATTAGATTATAGAAATTATAGTTTCCTCATGAAATTATAGTCAAAGGTCAAACCGTACATAAGTAGGTACATATAACTCGGAAAAAGTCATATTGGTACTTACTAAAGTATTAATGGGTTTTTAAAAAACATCTCAGTAGTAGCACGGAGTTTGATAATGTGCCCGGTATATAGCAATAGGCTCACCCCCTATTACATAGGACTCACAAAATAAATAGTGAAAAGTGGGTGTTACATTGTACGGTGGCATTAAGTGTCATAATGTGCACCTCTGCCTAACCCTTAGGGGATAAATGTATAAGTTTCGTGAGACATACTAAATTAATTATTACGTTTTCGGCTTACTTGCGTAATTATTTGACGAGGAACTCGACTAGTTTCAGTAACAGCGCGACAGTCACTCCGTGTCGCAGGACGATGAGGCTCAAGAGCATGAGCATGGCTTGAAACTAGTCGAGATCCTCGTCAAATAATTTCGCGAGTAAGTCGAAAAACATAATAATTAATTTAGTTATACTTACATGGAATCCTCTGCCACACAGGTCGCAAATCTTGTCTTTTGGCTTAGGAATCTTCTGATGGACATTCTTAAAATGTGTTCGTATACCAAATCCGTTGACAAAGTACTGAAAAATAAATACAATCCTTGGTTGGTTGCTTGGTTTGGTTGACCGATCGAGAACTAAAATTATTAATGGATCAAATAATTTATTTATTTTCATTGAATTGTACCGTTGTAAATTGTATTCAAATTTCCTTGGAAAAACAATCTGTGAATCACACAAAGAATTGTTCCGTGCGGGAATCGAACCCGCGACACATTGCGCTGCAGCCAGTTGCCCCCAGCGATTGTGCCAACCGTGCAGTCAAATTTTCAAAAAAATCAATGGTAGAAACAAAACCGAAGCGAAATGATTCGCATGCACGTAGGACACAGACGCTGCGTCGCACCGCAATGCATTAAATTCGCATATCACCGCTTCATAATCGCGTTTGCTTTCAGATAGCACACGAAAAACGTCAACAGGTCTGCCATATACGGAGCCGCGTAAGGCCTAACGGGTTGCCAGGGCTCCGGCTCGACGAGCAGGCGGTAAGGCAGGCAGGTTTTTAGTTAGTAAGAGTCTAACACTCCCTCTCTCCACCCAAGGCGGAAGAAGACATTGGATGATTTTCCCCCTTCAAAAGTGACATCTGCCATAACTTCTTTCAAATTTCATGCTGATCCCTTCAGTAGTTTTGATGTGATTGAGTAACAAACATACATACAAACTATCGCATTATTTTTTTATGGTATAAGCCGGTAAACGAGCAGACGGATCACCTGATGGTAAGCAATCAACGTCGCCCATAGTGTGCGTTACCCAGGCCAGATGTTGTCGAAAATGGTCATTTGAATCTTATAGATAATTAGTTGTGCGGCTTCTGGACATGTTGCACAATTTTTTTAATTTGGTGCGCTTATAGTTTTTAATTATTTCACATAAACATTTCCTGCTGGGGTAACGTTACCCCAGCCAGACCTTTTCCTTTCTAATGGGAATATTTATCCAAAGTACTGAGCTGAAATTGTACTGATATACAACTGAACTAAACAACACATTATTCACATAACATCCAGTTTATATATTCAATCCAGTGGCTAAATAACACTGCGCGCATCAAGACCGTGCTCGTGAAGAACTCAATATCATCATAACTTGTTACATTCTTTCAGGATACTAATGAAACTTCACATACATTTGAAGGCAGTTACAAGCTTTAGAATAACGTTTAAAGTAAGTCTTTAGAGCTCTTACTGCGAGTGCTGGGATCAATTAAAGTGTTTTTCTATTTAATGAAATAACCTTTGAGCTATTTATTATTTTGGTTGTTTTATTACAGAACAAATTTAAATAATTCTTAAGAAGCCATGTACAAAATATAATAAGAATCCGCTTAACCATTTCAAAGATCTAGCAAAACCAAAAACGTTACCCCAGCAGAATCTCGAATACCTTCGCAACCGATGAAAGAACAAATACAAAATAAGGCGTAACAAATTTTATAGCTAGTAATTATTTAACCCCTCGAGCGTCCTTATGAGCACCCGGTGGATCATAAGAAAAAATGCTCCATGCTGCTTTCTCTTTTATAAAATCTATTATTAATGTTTTGTTTTTATTTTGACTGTATTTGTTTTATTTCTATTGTAATGATCCTTGTTTTCGTGTGCCAATGGCCAAATAAATGTATTTTCTTGCATGCATAAGGATAAGGAAATGCATAAGGAACGCGGACGCTCGACGGGTTAAGTAATCTTATTAGAAAGAAAAAGGTCTGGCTGGGGTAACATTATCCCAGCAGGAAATATTATTGGGAAAGAATAAAAAAACTATAAGCGCAACAAATTTAAAAAGATAAAAAGATGCGCAACAATTACAGAAGCCGCAAAACTAATTATGTATAAGATTCAAATGACCATTTTCGACAACATCTGGCCTGGGTAACGCACATTCGCCCATGGACACACGGAACGCCAGAGGCGTTACAAGTACGTTACCGGCCTTTGGAGATTAGGAATTTGAGGATTTTTGTGGATTCAGAGATTGAGGTAAAGGGGGGTGTAATTGGGGCTCCGGTAACCTCACTCATATGACGAAACACAACGCTGTTGTTATTTCACTATGACTTCCTGCTCGGCCGTGGTATCACTCCGCCCGAGCCGGCCCAATCATGCCGAAGCATGGCTCTCCCGCGCTTAACTTAATTGATAATATTAGAGACATACATAAGTAACTAGTTTATCTGTATATGTGTGCTCACCTTATCACATAGTTCGCAGTAATGCTTCGTCTTGTCTGTATGAAACAATCTGTAATGATTGTTTCTGTACGACGTTTTGGTAAAAGTTTTTTTGCAAACTGGACATGGTAAGCTGAAATTAATAATTATAAACACATAAATAAACCATTTATTTATTTATTTTTCTATCTTATACTATAATACACTGTGGAATCAATTTCGTTTTCGTCCCGAAGTAAAATGGTTCTGTCTTGGTAATACAATAGTTTTACAAACAATAAATTTTTTAAAACAAAAAATAACTGGTGATACATTGCAAAAAGCAAACTTCGAAAGCGCATACGAACTCATAGGATTTGGATTCCCAAATCGGGCATAGTATAACTGGGTTTTTAAAAATCCCAGTAGTAGCACGGAGTCTGGAAATGTGCCCGGTATATTGCAATAGGCTCACCCCATATAACATGGGACTCATAACATAAATAGTGAAAAATGGATGTTACGTTGTACAGTGGCATTAAGTGCCGTAATGTGCACCTCTGCTTACCCCTTAAGGGATAAAAAGGCGTGATTTTATATTTATGTGTACAAAAATTTGTTCCGGGATCTAACTAGCTAAACATTTGTAGCTTTTTTTATGGAAGAAGCCGGTAAACGAGCAGATGGATCACGTCATGGTAAGTTATCGGCGTCGCCCATGGACATCTGACCACCAGAGGCGTTACAAGTGCGTTACAAGTCTTTTGGGATTAGGAATTTGAGGATTGTTGGGGATCAGAGATTGGGAAGGGGGTGGAGTAATCACTCCGGTCGAATCGGCCCATTCTTTCCGAAGCATAGCTCTCTTACACTTAACTTTCGGGGCCCCCTGCCCCCTGAGAATGGAGGACCCTGGGCACGGGCCCCGAGTGCCCTTATGGTAAAGACGGGATTGTAGTTACTCACCTAACTTTAGGCTTTGGCGTATGTTTCACTGAATCCTTAACATGCTTCTGATACAAGTACACGCTCGGGAACTGCTTGTCGCACTCGACACAGTACCTTAAATCTTTACTCGTAAGATTCACTTCTGCATTTATCTTGATCGGAACCAATTCTGGGTGGTAGTACCTTAGGTGCGTAGCGTATTTGCGGAAATTTTTGAAATTTTTCTTGCATACACTGCAGTATAGAGGAAGATGGTAGTTTCTGAAAAAAGGAAATTAATAAATAATATATGAATATGACAGGATATGAATAATAAAAATGTAATTAGTCCGTCATCAGTTAGATAATACAAAAATATTAGACACGTATTTTTTTTTTCTCATATATAGTTATAATACTTAGATTTTTATATTTGATGGACCGACGTTTCACCACTATCTCGCCTGGTGGGAAGCGATAATGCGGTCTACGATAGAGCTCGTTGATAAGCAACCTACTCACTCGGGCCTTGAAGACTCCCAGGGCAAAGAATTCTGACTTAGATAAAATGGCGTTAAGTTTCGAAGTGGGAGGTCGTGACGTCACAACGTGCTGCAAAATGTAGCACATGACATCACACGATATTTCAAATTAATATATCGTCGAAAGTATTTAATTTTGTCAGAAAAGAAAAATACGTGTCAACCAGACGGACACTAAAATAAAAATTAGAAAACTACACTATTTTTTTATAAACTATTTTAAAAAATACTGACTTCAACCCCCTCTCCCTTTGAAGTTGATTAATTAATGTACTAAAACCTTCTCAACAAACACTTTTTTGAAAACCGCATTAGAATCGGTTCAGAAAATCGCGAGATAATCGTACTTACTTTTCTGAAGTCGGTTAACCTTTTCGCCGCCAACAACTTCTATAGAAGTTCAGGATTTTCGTGCCGTCCACGCCACTACTTCTATAGAAGTTCATTGTATCTACCTACTATAAAAAATACATTTACGATACATAAAACATTTGTTTCTTTGTAATTTTGTAATATGGACACGACGAACTATTTTTTCTCATGCAAAACAGACTATTTTCTGTTTTAAAAAGGTAAAACATAAAAGGTTTCAAATAATTTTATATCCCGCACGCCAACGACTTCATATCAAGTAGGCCAGTGATGTGACGCGTAAGGAGCATTCATTAGAATCTTTATTTACTATAATATTTGTTTTCTTTTCCATCCAATAGTTTTTTGAATTCTATGAATAAAAAGAAATTCCGGTCAGTAAATAACGTATTTACGTAGTACTTTCTAGATTTTTTTACAGGTCCTTCTTTCTTATTTAGCTCATGTTTTGCCTCCTATTTATTGTCAATGGCGTGTTAGGATTATTACAGTTTTTTAGCACGAACTGGACACGTTGCTACCTGCAAGGAATTACGACGCGCGTAGGTACCTACTTTTGTTCAAACGGCCGAGCGCCGCACCAAGTGATTTCCCGCGCAAATAAATTGGTGGTCGGCAGACGGTAGCCTGACAAAATGCTTGACATAAAAATAAGCTATTAAAGTTTAGTACATCTGTATTAAAATAGTTACTTACCATCCATTTCCAAAACTACACATATGTTGCCACTTTTAATCACTACAAACAATGTTCCTGATCGTGACCTGACGTTAGATTTTAAATGTAAACTAAAACCAAAAGCAAACCAAACTCGATAGAAAGAAAGAAAAGCATAGACAACTATTCCTTACGAAATGTATCGTGCTTTGAACGCCAATGACTTGATATGAAGTAAACAGACTACGTTATGAAATGAATAGTGAAGTGGCTAATGTTACGAATTATTATTATTATCTCTAGCAACTCTATGCATGTATCTTCATCTCTGATAACGGATACCCATTTTTCTTAGTATAAATGTTCATAAAATAAAACAAATTACCATTATAACTTAACAGTTTGTATTTTTAATTGTAAATTTGAGTACCAATTTAAATTTACACATATTTTTTTTCATTATCGACATGATGTTACCGCCATCCCTACTTTCGTACTATACATTTATTATACATTTATACGTTGGCGTACGGCGACACATCGTGTTTAGTATAGCTGGGCGGCGAAAAGGTTAAAAATATACATAAAAAAACTGTCGGATCATCTGATGGTTACCATTAATATTTTTAAAAATTACGTTTTCTTGTCAATTATGGCTGACAGTGAAGAGTTTGGCTACATTTGTCGACTATACACGACGGTCGTGGTCCAATAATTAATTTGCCATGTGAAAGAGCCATGCTTCAGCACTACTATGTTGGCTCGACCGGAGTGATACCACAGCCGCGCAGGAAACTATAGTGAAACAACCGTTTTGGTTCGTCGTTTGAGTAAGGTTACAGGAGGCCCAATTTCTACCCCTTCCCTGTCCACAATCCTCAAATTCCTAATCCCCAAAAGGCCAGCATCGCATTTGTAACTTTTGGTGTTGCGTGTGTCCAATGTCCATGGGTGCTTATGTCCATGAATTGCTTACCTTCAGGTGATTCATCTGTTCTTATTCATTCAAATACCATAATAATCACTACATATAAAATAAAGTCTCTATTAGCCGTCTGTCTGTCCCTATGTATGCTTGGATCTTTAAAACTACGCAACAGATTTTGATACGGTTTTTTTTCATAGATAAAGTGATTCTCAACCCTTTGAGTGCCGTCATTATAGACACAATTAAAGAACAATAGGTTGCGGTCACCGGTGTCCTCGCGGTGTTTGACAGTTTAAGGAAGGTTTATATGTATAATACATGCATTTTGCACCCGTGCGAATCCGGGGCGGCTCGCTAGTACATTATATAAAATACTTACTTCATATGCGCCTCAAGCCTGACTTTAACTTTAAATGTCTTCTGACAATGATCACACTGGAATATTTCATGCATATTTTTATAATGCTCAGTGAAATCACGTAATGTTCTGAAAAATATAAACATATTATAATGAATCACTACATAGTATAAAACAAAGTCACTTCCCGCTGTCTCTATGTATGATTAAATCTTTGAAACTACGCCACGGATTTTGATGCGGTTTCTGTGTGACGACTGTGGGAATTAAATTGATTTAATTGCAGAACAAATTTAAACTAATTCCTAAGAAGCTATGTACAAAATATGATAAGAATCCGCTTAACCATTTCAAAGATTTAGCAAAACCAAAAACGTTACCCCAGCAAAATCTAGAATAATTCGCAACCGATGAAAGAACAAATACAAAATAAGGCACATTTACTTCATCTAGACAACTAATTTTATAGCTAGTAATTATTTAAATATTCCCATTAGAAAGAAAAAGGTCTGGCTGGGGTAACGTTCCCCCAACAGGAAATGTTTTTGTGAAATAATTAAAAAACTATAAAATGTGCGCAACAATTACAGAAGCCTCAAAACTAATTATTTATAAGATTCAAATGACTATTTTCGACAACATCTGGCCAGCATCATTCGACAATACCACAAAGAGTTGCTCCGTGCGGGAATCGAACCTGCAACACGTTGCGCGGCAGCCAGTTAATCAGTTACCTAGTCCAGCAAAATAGTGATTCAAGAGGAAGGTATATCTGTGTAATTAACCCGTGCGACGCCGCGGGCAATATCTAGTAAAATATAAAAATTTGAAAACATATCGTGCAGGAATCGAACCCACGACACTGTCCCCAGCATCCAACTGTTGAATGCACGTTCGAACCAAAAATTTTGTTCTTGGATCATGACAAAAAAAAAATATATAATATTTTAATTAAAGTGATTAATTTCAACTTACGGAAATTCCTGAGCGCATTTGTCACAAGTATATATTTTAGTGTGTGTCCTGTTCAGATGTTTCTTTAGTTCCCCCTTATTGCGACAGATGTCGCCACAGAATTTACACTTCATCATGACATTATGTCGCAGCTTCCAGTGCGCATGGAGGTGGGCAGTAGATGTTATATCGTCTTTACATATATTACAAGGTGTTGGGTAACTAAACTAAAAAGAAATACACCTTATCTTAATACAATAGAGTCGTAACTATCAATATACCTACTATGTATAGTTATGTTACGTCTAAGTAGTATATGTTATATAATTGTGTAAGTTTATTGTTATGTTATATACATATAAGTTTATATAGGGATTTATTTTATGTAAGTCTATACTATCCTTTTTTTATGCATTTCTGTAGTGTCTTAAATACGCTTGCTTCTTGCATCGACCATTGTTTTTGTCTCTGCATCACCCAAAGGTCTGGCTGGAGGAGAATGCCCTAGGCATTAAGCCCACCTTGTACAATAATATGTGCATGAAGTCTTTTAAAATAAAATAAAAAATAAAATAAAAAAATATAATGGATGCGAACTTTGCAAAGTGTGTATGTTTGTTACTCAATCACGTCAAAAGGGCTGAAGAGATCTGGATGAAATTAGGAACAGGGGTAGATAAAGATCTCAGCTGCACAGACGCGTCGAGCGGGACGGCTCTGTGTGGCGTCGTCCGTAATATCTAGTACAGGAATGGCGAACCATTGGCACGCGTGCCTTTGATGGCACGGAACACAACATTTTGGGCACGACAGTGACTACAAAACTAATGAATGATCAGAAACCTATAACGCATTTATGGTGTCTTAAATATTTCAGGTGTATGTAGTCATACTGCGGTGACAGTATACCATACCAACTGTATACTATATTGCTACAGATTGACAGTAAATAGTAATAATCAGTCGATGGCACACATAAAATGGTAAAACTATTTTCTTCAAAGTAATTGGCACGCTAATGTGTAAAGGTTCGCCTTCCCTGATCTAGTACATTACAACTGCTCAGTGTCGCGTCGCCGTCCCGTCCCGTCCAGCCGCGCCGCGCCCACTGTTTGCCTTATGCACCTTTATCTACCCCTGTTCCTAATTTACACGTAGGCTACTTTTAATTTCACACACACACACATTTTAATTCGGAAAATAGAAATAAAAAGTTATGTACTAGGATTCATATACTACGCGAAGTCGCAAGCTTCGTTTAATTAATTACCTAGTCTGTATTACATGACTCATGACATAACATGGACATACATACATAAGTCTCATGACATACATGGAATCATAACATAGCTGGTATAAGTGGGTGTTACTTTGTCTATTTATGTAAACTTTTGTGTACACCTTCGGGGATTAAAACATTGTAGTACATATACATATATGTGCTAGAAAAGTGTTTAAAACGATATAATTTGTTAACGATAAATCTACAAGAGTTCATCATATTTTTTTATAAAGTACTAGCTTCTACCTAGCTCGCGGCTTTGCCCAGGTTCCCTTGGGATAAGAAGTAACCTCTGTGTTAAAGAGGTTACTCTGACATAACCGTCAGACTATAACCCACCCCTGTTCCAAATTTCATACCGATTCCTTCAGTCGTTTTTGCATAAAAGAGTAAAAAACAAACAAACTAACACACAAATACAAACACACACACACACACACATAAACTATTGCATTTATAATAGTAGTAACAATGAAAGCTCACCTCTAAATGTTTAAATACATTATGCCTCGTGTAATCTAAATGCTTTGTGAACCCAATTTTACACATTTCACACACAAATTTCGCCTTTGATAAAGAAAATCTTATATGAATCTCCTTTATCTCACTGAAGTCTAAATTCACACTATCATAAAATTCTCCAACCTCATCCGTAAAAGGGTCACGAATTACTCTAGACGTTGCGAAGTTAGAATACTTTTTTATGGACTGGTATTTAGCTGGCCTTTTCTTCTTCCTTTTTTCCTTCCGTAAAAGATCTCCTTCTTCTTCCATCTTAAACTCCCTATCACAGTAATCCATGTCATCATTATCATCATTGCAACTGTCAATTTCATTTTTAATTTCATTATCACATTCTTCTTTTATCTCTTGCAATAATTCTCCGTTCTCTGTTAAAAAATTGTCTTCTTCGTCTATGACTAAATCGTCTTTTGTGTCCGATTCCGTGTCTGATCCATATTGTGTGGAAAAGAAATTGTTTTCATTGATTTCTTCTTCGTGAACGTATATGTAATCATATTCTGGATTTTTTGTTTTTGACAATCGTGTGTGGATATTGAATTTGTTCTGAAATTTTTATAAAAATAATTTAGTTGCATTACCAAAGAAAAGTAGGATATCGATATCAGACTGTTTGACTCTACGTTCTGCAATTATGAAGCGTTGACACGCGAATTCAATGCGATGCGGTACGACGCAGCGGCTTTGTCTCACATTCATGTAAATCGTTTCATTATAACAAACAACAATGTAACAAGTACCGCATCCAAATATGACAGTTCACTCGAAAATATCAAACCAACTGATCGCGTTCGCGTCATTCACCGCATCCCACGGGCGTATTGTCATGTAGAATACTTCATTCAACAGTGTGTTGTTTTTGCACCACTCCACATGCACTTATAGATCACTCACACGGGATGAGTGTGAAATAGATAGACTATTTTTTAGATAAGATGCCTAGAGAATGGAATTTAACAAGAAACATCATTATAATCAACAGCCTATAAGTGTGCACTGCTGAGCAAAGGCCTCTTCTCACGCGGAGAAGGAATAAGCCTTAATGTCATGCTTGCTCAAAGCAAGTTGGCAATCACTTATGAGTGAGTATTCTTAGGATTAAAGAAAGAAACATTCTTAAGCCCCCATTGCTGAATTTTAGGTTGGTAGTAGTTTAAAAACAAAATATAAGATTTACCTTATCATGCATATAGCCATTGGGGTAGTCCGCTAGTTGTTTCTGTGCTGATTTGATCCGAGCTTGAAACTGTTGGGTTTTATTTAACAATGCTTTACACTCCCAGCACAGAAGTAAATTTTTGTCCTGTAATAATATATTCAACTTTATAATATTTTAATACAAAAAGTTCTGTGCGTTACCCAGGCCAGATGTTATCAAAAACAGTCATTCATGTTATAAATAATTAACTGTGCGCATTTTAAAATTTGTTGCGCTTATAGTTTTTTAATTACTTCACAAAAACATTTCCTGCTGGGGTAACGTTACCGCAGCCAGACCTTTTTCTTTCTAATGGGAATATTTAAATAATTACTAGCTATAAAATTTGTCTAGATGAATATAATATAATATAATGAGTTGTGCCTTACTTTGTATTTATTCTTTCATCGGTTGCGAAGTTATTCGAGATTCTGCTGGGGTAACGTTTTTGGGTTTGCTAGATTTTTGAATTGGTTAAGCGAATTCTTGTCATAATTTGTATTTTTTTTTTATTGTTACTAGCTAGAGAAAGTCGTGTTAGTTACACCACTTATACTCCAAGAACGGCAAAACAGATTTGGCTGAAAATTGGTAGGGAGGTAGCTTAGAGCCAGGATACGGACGTAAGATACTTTTTATCCCGTTCGATAGCGTTTGAAAATTTAGATAATGTAACCCAATGTGTGAAAATACTACCAAAAAACTCTTTATATTGCTTAAGCCTTTGACTGCCAATAGAAAACTGTTTTCAAGGACTAATAATAGTATTTAGACTAATAATAGCAGAATCTCGAATAACTTCGCAACCGATGAAAGAACAAATACAAAATAAGGCACAACATTTACTTCATCTAGACAACTAATTTTATAGCTATAGTCGTATTTTTAATTAGACGAAGTCAACTGACAATGGCTAATGTCAAATTGTAAAATAATGTGGCCATATTTAAAGTAATAGTGATGGCTACAGTTCTCGTTCAATCAAATGAATGAACAATGAATGTGAATAGTTCATAATTTTAATCATTCCAAAACATAAATGAATATTATTTCTATTTCTAATAAAATTGTATCAATATTTGATAGTTTATTGTAAAGCGCGGCGCGGCGAGTACTGACAACACCGATCGACGTCGCGCGCGTCGGTCGCCATTTTGATTGTTATTCGGCTTCTAACCTCTGGTCTGAAAGCACGTACTTTGTTATTTCTGCGCTCACGTTGTTTTGTTAAGTTTTTTGTTTCTGGTTGTGTTTGCGGTTATGTGTTCATTGTTTCCTTTAAACAATATGGATCCTCAACCAAGCACGTCAAGTCAAAGCTTGTCTCCGAGAAGGAAGAGACCACGGGTTTCGTTAAGCGTTACCGAAAAGCTCATGGTACAGAACGTGTATAAACACGTATTTGAGGAGAAAGCTGCTTCTCTATTACCTTTGAAACCCCCGAAAAACAGGAATGTGTTTCGAAAACAGCTGACATTTTGGGAATTGGTGTGACCTCGGTTTACAGTGTATTAAAAGAATACAAAGAAAATGAACAATTTAAATCACCCGAGAAACGTGGACCGAAATACAATTTCAAAGACAAATTAGATGATTTTACTTTTACTGCCATAAGGCGAAAAGTTCATCAGTTTTTTATGCAAATGAGCACCCACCATTGCAAAGGTAACATAAACTTTATTCCGTCTACTGCATTATATTCTGTGTCCACCATAATGTTCTTTGTAAAACCAAAGTATTAGATTGCATAGATTTCCTTACTCAAAAACATTTTTATTACTTTACAGATCCTTAAAGTTGTCAATGAAGACCCAGATTTACCGACTTTTTCATGGAGTACACTAAGAAATGTTAAAACATTTGAATTTCAAATACGTTTCAAAGACAAAAAAAGCATTCTTATTGACAGACAGGATATTATTCTATGGCGCCAGCGATACCTTCGAGAAATAAAACAGTATAGAAGAGAAGGAAGGTATATTTATTACCAAGATGAGACCTGGATCAACGAAGGTAATTACAATTTTGTTTTCTTCATTTTAAATTTTACTTTCTGTAGGTTTTGTGGCCACAGATAAAAGTTCTTACAATTCGTTACCGACGCTGTATTTAACACAGATTACATGCGTTTCTTATAAGACTGTAAATTCTGATTGTGTGACAATAATATAAATTAGGAATAATTACAAACAAACATGACAAACCACTTAGATAAACGTGTACATACATTTACAGGCATGTGTTTAGAAGGTCCCTCTACTTTCAATAATTAATTGATATTTTTCTCTATTTTTAAGGTCATGCCCCGAAGAAGGTATGGATTGACCAAACAGTGCTAACCTCCCGCCAGGCCTTCCTCGATGGCTTGACCACTGGCTTAAAACAACCTTCAGGAAAGGGCAAACGCTTAATTATCGGACATATAGGCGGGGAAGAAGGGTTCGTAGAAGACAGCCTATTAATATTTGAAGCCACAAAAAACAAAGAAGATTATCATCAAGAGATGGAATGCCGATTCCTTCGAAAAGTGGTTCAGAGAGGTCTTGCCAAAACTCAAACCAAATTCCGTGGTAGTGATGGATATGCCCCGTACCACTCCAGGAAACTGGAATCGCTGCCTACAATGTCTTGGACTAAATCCAGAATACAAGAGTGGCTAACAAGCAAAAATATCGCATTCGAAGCAACAATGATCAAAGCTACTCTTATAGACATTGTACGACAGCACAAACACCAACATTCTGAAAAGTTTGTTTTGTGGACGAGAATGGCAGCACACCATGGAATACGGTTTTACGTCTGCCCCCATACCACTGTGAGCTTAACCCTATGAGTTGGTATGGGCGCAGGCCAAAGGACATGTGGCAAGAAATAACAAAACTTTTAAAATGCCAGAAGTTAAAAAACTGTTTGAAGAAGGACTTCAACTCATCACAGCAGAAAAATGGAGTAGTTGCTTGTCTCACGTTATTAAAGAAGAAGACAAAATGTATGGCCTTGACCACATGATTGACAATGTGTCAGACAACTTTATTATTAATGTCACCGAAAGTGATAGCGATGATTTTTTATCTGATGATGATTAAAATCAAATGATGTTATTAGCGTTGTTTTTATTATCCATAACTACCTAATTTTTTTATATTTTACTCATCTGTAGTTTCAACTACTTCAATTAATTCACTAGACGATCGAGACAATTTCATTCATTTAGTTGCTTTTTCAATCATTCACTTTTTCGCAACACTATTTTTATTTCATCAAAAACTGACAACACAGCAAACGTCAGTCGACTTCGTCTAATTAAAAATACGACTATAGTAATTATTTTAATATTCCCATTAGAAAGAAAAAGGTCTGGCTGCGATAACGTTACCCCAGCAGGAAATGTTTTTGTGAAATAATTAAAAAACTATAACTAGCTATAAAATTAGTTGTCTAAATGAAGTAAATGTGCCTTATTTTGTATTTATCCTTTCATCGTTTGCGAAGTTATTCGAGATTCTGCTGGGGTAACGTTTTTGGTTTTGCTAGATCTTTGAAATGGTTAAAAAAATTAAAGTAATTACAAAATATGATAAGAATCCGCTTTTCTTATCATATTTTGTAATTATATGATAAGAAAAGCGGATTCTTATCATATTTTGTAATTAATTTAATTTTTTTTTTAATTGTAACTAGCTAGCTGACCCGGCGAACTTTGATCCGCCTTAATGGCAATAAATTAGCAGATTGTTGTTTTTACTGAAAAAATACAAAAAAAACAAAAACCTACATTAATTATTCATTATTATTTCTGTATTTTAGTACATAGGTTGCTCTTCACTTATAATTATCAGGCGCAAAAACGAACAACGCAGATGGTCTTCCGACCCGTGAACGTGCCACGTATAATTGACCATGGGAAAAACATGAATGTTCTAGATAAACAACCAACTTTTAAGGATTGGCCTTGTGATTTGTTGATGGTCATGAAAAATGCAAGACGTATCGGAAATTGAAGTCTTTTAAATTCAAACGGCATATCGGTAGGGATCATCGGGATCCTCGGAATGAGAACTTTCTCACCTTAGAATTTTCCTATCATTATCGTAGCATAAATTACATTTTTCATCAATTTTCTATGCACGAAACATGTACCATTACACAGTTTTGGTTGGTTTATATTTTGAACCATGATTATGATGGAGCGTTGGTAAGCCAGGCACGTCCAAAGAGTTTAAAAATTCAATTGGATAGTTGGTGGGTTCATCTTCATTTGTGACGCAGTCAATAGATTTGAATGAATGCATTGTTCCAATTATATTATTTTGAATTATGTAGTTCAGGAAAATATGTCAGGTAACATAGAAAGGTTTTTTTGGTAGAAATTGACTTGGTTTTTTTACTGATTTGAGATAATAGAAAGGATTTAAAGTAGCATAGGCGACATTTTGTGTCATTCTAACCCACCACTTCCCTAATACAGGGGTTTGAAGTTTGTATGAAGCATATCGTAATTTTCAAGAAATCTAAAATTAGTATCATATTTGTGACCAGGAAAATATTGGGTACCAATTCATTTTTATCATTTGTATACCTGCCCTGAATACTTTAAAAGAATGCGAGCGAAACCGGGGGCAGAAGCTAGTCCATAAATAAAATGTATTTGGTTAATTGAATTCATATTTTTTCTTTAAAATCTCTGATTCTGATGCACCTAAATACTATTATTAGTCCTTGAAAACAGTTTTCTATTGGCAGCCAAAGGCTTAAGCAATATAAAGAGATTTTTGGTAGTATTTTCACACATCGGGTTACATTAACTAAATTTTCAAACGCTGTCGAACGGGATAAAAAGTATCTTACGTCCGTATCCTGGCTCTAAGCTACCTCCCTACCAATTTTCAACCAAATCTGTTTTGCCGTTCTTGAGGTACTTATAAGTGGTGTAACTAACACGACTTTCTTTTATATATAGATTAGATACCCAATGGGAAAGCAGTGGACAAATGTATTCCACTCGTCCGGCTACACACAGCTTCTTTTACTCATTTCATGTATAACAAACGACTTACAAATTGTACGTTACAAAATATCGGTATAAAAGTCACCTATCAAATTAAGACAGCAAACATAATAAAAAAGACGATAAAAATATAAAATCAATAAATAACAAAAGGAAGTCGGCAAAAACATACATTTTCGTTCCTCTTGTCGCCCCTTAGCTTTGTAAACAGTGTCTTTTGCTGCCCAGTAACGCATGAAATCTTTCTGTCCGCACTCAAACAACCGTGGCATAGCACTAACATACGTTGGCATTCAATCTTAGCTTCCATTTTAGTAAATAAATTGCATATTTTGGTATTTATTTCAATATTTTCTCAAATATGGACTCATTCGCCAATTGTTCACACAAATATTTTGACAGTTTGAAAATGACACTTAGTCAATAAAGTCAAAAAGTATTGATGCCTTTTCTTAAAGTTGGCCTCATGTTGATTGCGCTATCCATATTGATTTTTGTAATATTAGGTGCTGTAGTCTGTATTTGAGTGACGGACGGTCCCCAACACTGCGTAAAGTATAAAGATTCTGGTTCTTATTACCTATTTGATAGCGTCTGAGGTTAAAAAGAGTCAATCGACGGTTTAACAAACACGAGGCCGAGTTTCTTGTAATTTATTATTTTTATTGGTTTTTAATTATTTTATTGTATTTTCTTTGACATGTTTGCTTTTGCTCTACTTTATTTTTGATTATCATAAAACCATTTTGCAATATTAAATTTGTTACTCGTAAACGAAGAAACGAGTATGACTACCATGACTTATTATTATCATAGAAAGTGTGTGAAGACCGCAGAGCAGAATGCCTTTGATCCCAGCTCTTCCAGTGTGTATCTTAACATTAACAGTTGTCTAAAGAAGCATGTACACATTTAACTAATTGGGTAACTTTAATTTGAACCTTTTAGCTGCAATTTCTAACGCCCCTGCCAAGCGTAAACATTACGACAAACGTTCTTATATAGAGAAGACCCATAGTCCAACAGTAGCATGTCACAAATTATTTGATAGTATGAATGGAAAAAGCACATCAGTTTCCCTCTGCCTTATTTAATGAAGCTGAATGAAGAAAGAAAATAGCAGATGCAGCAAATTTAGAACGTTTCTTCCTCAAATCCGAAGAATACTTACCTTTTGTTTCTCGTGTTCGTTATTGTTAGGATAAGATTTTTATGAAATAAAAACTCGACACAATCACAGGGTTATAGCACCTGGAGAGTACGGAGCCGCGGAGAACTTAGCTGGTTACCGGGGCTCCGGCTCAAACTGCAGGAGTAGGAACGGGGTGGTTTTTAGTCAGTCAGACAGTCAGTCAAGAGTCTGACACTCCCTCCCGTCTCACCCAGGCGGGAGAAGTGATTCGATGATTTTCCCCCCTTAAAAAAAATTGCACCCGGGGAGGGGGAAGGAGAGGGGGGCTGAAGTAAATAAATAAAACATGTTGTAAAACTTAAATAATCGTTTTATTCGATTAAAATTACATAAAGTAATATTCAGCCTTCTATATTATCTTATGTGTTAACCTAGACATTATATAATCATTAAGTTATCGAACTGTACAAGGTATTAACATTAGGTATCCTTTGAAGCAATGAATGAAGACCGGACCGCGCACTGACCACCCGCTGCCGGCTTTTTGTATTGACGTTACGAAAAGTATCATACAACATACGATTTAAAGTTCATATTTAAATAACAACTTAATGGCTGGATTGGAGCCGTGCTTTTTTTGTGGGATGACCTTATGTGATCAAATTAATGAGCCCAGTGAGTGAGGGAGTTCCCATTACATTGAACAATGACTTTACTTAAACATTTTTATTACATTCTGGCGGTGACTTCGCCCGCGTTCCCGTGGAATATAAAATAGTAGTCTTTCACATGTGTTGCCATATAATTATGTATTTATTTATTCCCAGAATGTAGCAACTTATTGTGGGTATACAAAGCAGCGGGGTGTGCGAATGTCGCCGTACAGTGAGTACATTGTAGAGGGCGCTCTCCTGTATGCGTTCTTATATGAGACTTGAGAATTGTTTGCGTCTGTAAATGAGAAAAAAATATTGTTAGTGTAGATAACGGTAAATCGGGGTGAATACAATTCGAGGGGGTGAATAGATACAAGGATGGGGTGAATAGATACAAGGATGGGGTGAATAGATACAAGGATGGGGTGAATAGATACAAGGATGGGGTGAATAGATACAAGGATGGGGTGAATAGATACAAGGATGGGGTGAATAGATACAAGGATGTTGTGAATAGATACAAGGATGGGGTGAATAGATACAAGGATGGGGTGAATAGATACAAGGATGGGGTGAATGGATACAAGGATGGGGTGAATAGATATAGAAGAGGGGTGAATAGATTTCGAGGGGTGAATAGATACAGAAGAGGGGTGAATAAATATTAGAACATTTTCTCAACATATGTTTTACGATACTTTAGACAACGACTTCGCCCGCGTTCTCGTATGAAAAAAAGTAGCCTACATACGTGTTATTCCGGACTATAATCTATAATTGTGTCAAAATTCATTTAAATCTATGAAATATTTTTTTGGGTAAGGGTAAAAAATACCTATAGACTCGCACACAATTAATTTTTGCATTGCTTATTCGTATTAAAACCTGTCATAGTTTGTAAGGTTTTCTTATTCTTATTGTTTGTTTTATTTAAGGACTGTTCTGTTTTGTTTTGTTTTTCTTTTTATAATTATTTGAAATGTATAACGCCTTGGTTTTATGACTGTAATGTTATACTATTTAATTGAAATAAATAAATTATTAGGTAACACTAGCGTCATGCACACATGAATGTCCTACAGTCGGTGGCGCTGTATGTTGGGTTGTTCCGTTCCCTACAAAAAGGTTGACTGGACCAATTGGGTACTTTCCTTAATCAAAAATACATTATTTCTACTGTAAAAATAACATAACATCACGCCTTTTATCTCCGAAGGGGTAGGCAGAGCTGCACATTATGCCACTGTACAATGTAACACCCACTTTTCACTATTTATGTTATTAGTCGGTATTTACATATTTATGTTTCGAACCCTCTCATGCATGAGAAGCGGGCGTCTTAAACCTCCGGGCCTGTCACGGAGAACCTAACGGTCGCGAAGAACCTAACGGGTAACCGGGGCTCCGGCTCGACGTGCAGGAGGAGGAACGGGGTGGTTTTTAATCAGTAAGAGTCTGACACTCCCTTCCGCCTCACCCAGGCGGGAGCAGTCATTCGATGATTTTCCCCCCTTAAAAAAAACTATTTCTATATTTGCGCCCTATAATGAGCAAAGAATATAGTAAGGGAGGCCGGGATACTAAATTTGCAGTTACTTGAGAGTCGTTGGGATCTACTGGATTTTGAAGATATGCTGATAGAGAGAAGAAATGGCTTTTTTTTAAGGGGGGAAAATCATCGAATGTCTGCTCCCGCCTGGGTGAGGCGGAAGGGAGTGTCAGACTCTTACTGACTAAAAACCACCCCGTTCCTTCTCCTGCACCTCGAGCCGGAGCCCCGGTTACCCGTTAGGTTCTTCGCGACTCCGAATCGGCATCGGCCCTATTGGGCCCCATCTGTGGTGGTCTGATGGCTCTTTGAGGCAGAAGAAATGGCTTAGTGACAATTTCTTCCACCGGTGGGGGAAGGGGAATCCACAGATCTTTGAAATTGTTAAGCGTAACTTTTGTTCTAGTGGTCGAGCGTGTCAGATATTGATAGTGTACATGCTCCATGTGTATTTAATAGTAAAAAACTCTTAATCTACCAGTTTGCATGGTGGGGTTGAATGTTCTGGAGAGTACAAACGAGAACCGTTTAAAATCCCCCCACTCTTGCAAATCAAGTTGGAATGGGCAGATTTTTTAAACGCACGTCCTTTAGCATGGTATTGACCTACCTTCCCTTATTCTGACGAAACTGACTTTATTTAGTCAGACTTTTTTTTATTTTCAGTCCCCCTTTCTAATCAGCAGCTGTAGCCAAATGCCATTTAGCGCTTGTCTACATGTAGAATAGAAAACCAAATTATATGGAATTGACGTAAATTTTGACACTTGTCAGTGTCATCCCCATACATTTTGATTTCTACTCTCTCTGTAGACAAGCGCTAAAATGGCGTTTGGCTAAAGGCACAGATCGGATATATGGTGGGTATATTTAACATGACACTAGGTTTTCCCCATATGTTAATCTGACGCGGTCGAGTAACTACCGAAATCCCATCATGGGCTCCCCTACTAATACGGTACCACCTATAAGAAAGACATACTCACAGTGAACCCTCTACCGCAATAATCACATATCTTATTCCTCGGCGGCCGGAACTTGTTGTGGACATAAGACACGTGACGGTCCAACGTATAACTGTTTTTGAATACCTGTAACAATAGTACACATGTACACAGTAACTCAGTGAGGTTGTCCAGTCAACTGATGGTAGCGGTGACTGTCCAGGCGACACACGTACTTAGGTATCGTCATGAGCTAATGTTCACATGTAAACAGCAGCTCATGTAAAGAGATTGTCCAGTCAACTGATGGTAGCGGTGACTGTCCAGGCGACTGTCCAGGCTTAGGTATCGTCATGAGCTAATGTTCACATGTAAACAGCAGCTCATGTAAAGAGATTGTCCAATCAAAGCGAGGTACACCAAGGATTGCTTATGTCGTAAAAAACCATTATAAACGAATCGTCGAAGGTACGGAAAGATCATACGAAGCGATACCACGATTAATTGTTTTTTTTTTGGTGTAGTCGACTTACCTACATATAAGGGGCGTCCATAAATTACGTGCGGTTTTTTTAATTGTCTATCCCCCCCTCCCCCCTTGGTGAGATTTCGTGAGATTTTTTTCAACACCCTCCCCATCCCCCAATCTCACGTGAGATTTTTCAAAATGTTGGTTTTTCACGTAAATGCTTTAATTTGTTATTATAAAAAGAAAAAAAACACATGTGCATGTACCTACAATTAAATCTTAAGCATTTACCTCTACAATCTGGATTAAATGAACTAAAATAGTGTCTCTTTTTTGTTTTAATCAGTTCAAAAATTACATGATACTTGCCGCTCCAACGTAAGATTAGATGAGATTTGAGTTTACCCCCTCCACCCCTTAAACATCTCACGTAATTTATGGACGCCCCCTTAATATTTGTACACCAGTCATGGTTAAACATGTTGATACAAACAATACTGTACGTACATCTATAATAAACATATATTTCTGCATTTATTATTATAACCTACACATGTTTTGGCAATTTTTTTTATGGCATAAGCCGGTAAACGAGCAGACGGATCACCTGATGGTAAGCAATCGGCGTCGGCCATGGACACCTGAAACACCAGAGGCGTTACAAGTGCGTCACCGGCCTTTTGGGGATTAGGAGTTTGAGGATCGTTGGGGATTCAGGGATTGGGGAGATTGGGGAAGGGGAGGGTAATTGGGCCTCCGGTAACCTCACTCACACGACGAAACACAACGCAAGCGTTGTTTCACGTCGGTTTTCTGCTCGGCCGTGGTATCACTTCGGTCGAGCCGGCCCAGCAGTGCCAAAGCATGGCTCTCCCACACTTGAATAAAACGGCCTTTATCTTTACCTTAGTGCATTGAGTACATTTGTACGCTATCTTCAAATGTTTCCAGTTTATATGTACTTGCAAACTGCTTTTTGTTAAAAACTTCGCACCGCATTCATCGCAAATGAATCTGTAATGAGATAAAGCCTTTAATTTAACATGATTTTATTTAACTTACAATTACCATTGGGTACTTTTCTATATCAAAAATAAATTATTTCGTCTGTTCAATACAATAAAATATTAAAAAATAAAACACATTCATTAATTAATTCTATGACCAACTAAATTTTAGTATTTTTTCAGCATATTTTTTAAGAAATCAGTATCCTGTTTGACGCTAAAAAACGTGACGTCACAATACACAATCTCGTACAAAATTCATAGAAAACTGTCGTTTTTGACAGTTCGAAAAAAAAAAAATCAATTTGACTAGTTGTTTTAGAATTTATTATTTTAGTAATATTATGAATAAGAAAGTTTGTGAGTTTGTATGTATGTATGTTTGTATCACTTCAAAACAGCTCAAGGGATCGAAATGAATTTTGGAACAGGGGGTAGACTTTACAAGGTGTTGTTTTAAAGCCGCGTCATTTTCTAGGAGGTAACACGGATATGAAAGAAAGAAAGAAAGAAAGAAAGAAAGAAAGAAAGAAAAACTATTTATTTTGCTACGACACACAACAAAAATTTAGAAAAACCGAAAAAAAGCCCATAGTACGTCGCAGCGCAAAAGGGTGGAGCTCAGCTTAATACCGTGGACCGGGCACAGAGGCTCGAGCCCACGGCGCTGATTTTCAGCACCAGCCCGTTATAATACGTACTAGCTAAACATCTACATTAACGCTGCTCGGAGTACAGCATGATGTATAATATAGTAAAATAATTTAAAAGTGAGAACAAAATCAACAGCTACGATTACTGCCAAAAATTTAAACAGATGGATAAAAAATAAATAATATAGATTCTGAGTCCGAATCAATAAAAAAATTGTAGGTAAATATTATTCATTCTTCTGAAATTACGGAAATCCGTAAGTGCGAAGTACACGCCGCCGTCTTGTAACTATAGCTTTATAATGCGACTTAACACACACAAACTCAAACACGTAATTGATATTATTTCTATTTCCATAAAACTCCAATAAGAAACATTGCTGTCGCTTATTCTGAAATACTGTCGAACTTAAACTATTTATTATAGCCGTATTTTTAACTATTGGCCCGATATTTTCTCTTACATTGAACCTTTATGAGTTCTATGACATGCCCCCGAGAAATGTCACGGTTTCAAAACTACACCTTGTATAATAAGTAAAAACTAAAAAGTAAAAAACAACTATTATTAGTACTGATAGGTTACACACCACTGATAGGCTAGAAGTCGGTGCCATAAGCTCATATCAAAATGATTTAACATAATGGTTACAAAATTGTCAACAGTTTAAACTGTCAAACACCAAGCCATAGTATAAAGAACACAGTAGGTTATCTAAGGCCGCCCGCCGAGTTATTAGCCTACTCTTGCGTTGATCCCCAGGGTTGTCACTTTTACTTTTAGTTAATATTTTCGAACAAGCAGCACTTGATCTAAATTTATGAAATGAAAAGCATATTATGATTGAATATTTTATCAATTTATAAATCTAATAAAAATAAAAAGCTTATAAAAAGATTATTAACTTCTTAAAATAAACTTTAGCTCTACAGTTACATAGTATTCAGAAAGTAAATTTTGGAATACATTTATATGGAAAAATGCGACACGGCCACGCTCTTAACAAATCAGATAAACTGTGAAATAAACAATACAATACCACATTTTCTTATAATATTTAAGTATAGTAGGTAATTACATTTCTGGTTGAGTAGGAACTATGAAGAATGATAAGAGTAAGAATAAGTAAGTAGGTATCTCATCATCAAGTACCTACAAATTATATTATGCTAGAAAAAGTGACTAGCTTACCTTTCCTGTTCAATAGGTAATCTGAACAGAGACAGTTCTGGAATCGATTAATTATTAAGACACCCAAACACACAGCAATACGTTCTTCTACGGTTATCAGACATTTTTTATTTCATTTAACAGTGCCGAAAAGTGATGCGCGCGCGAACCTCGTGCAGTGTTAGCCCTGCCTGGCGCACCGAGAAACGGGTCGAGATTTTGTTAAAGTGTGCGTGCGTCGACGCATAGATACTATGGCGCACACATATAAGCCGCGCGCGGAGCATTTGTATGAAGATAACCTACTTTGTTCTTTATACTATGACCAAGCGGTCACCGGTGACCGCGACCTATTGTTCTTTAATTGTGTCTATAAAACCGGTACTCGACGAGTTAATATTAGGTATCTATTATTAAGGTTTTAATGAAAGAACTTATGGCGCCGACTTCTCACCAATCAGAGAATGGGTACTAATAGTAGTTTTATTTGGTATCTAGTTTTTACGTTTTGTTTTTTTTTTAGTTTTGGGTTTTTTAAGGCGGTTTTTAATAAAAAATGGCGTGGTAGCCCGAAGGTTTTAGACTCCCGCTTTTTATGCATCAGAGTGCGGGTTCGAAACCTACCAACGGCAAGTACCAATGTGGCTTATTCCGAGTTATACGTTCTTTCTAAGAATATCTAGACAATTATCTATCCCCCTAACATATTTAATTAATCAAAGTTTTCAAGATGGCCAATTTCCCGACGCTTTAAAAATTTCTCTAGTCAAACCCATTCACAAAAAAGGCGACACAGACACCCCTAGTAATTACAGACCCATAGCCCTATTACCTACATTTTCCAAAATATTTGAGAAAGCAATGTGTAACCGCCTATACAACTTTTTAGAAAAATTCAAAATCCTAGATGATTCCCAAAACGGATTTAGACGTTCAAGATCCACCACACTAGCTGTTTATAAATATGTACAAACCGCTCTTCAGCATATTAATGACAAGAAGTATGTAATTGGCGTCTTACTTGACATGACGAAGGCTTATGACAAAGTACTGTATAACATACTTCTTGACAAACTACACGGCTCAGGCATTCGTGGTCCAGCTCACTCTTGGTTTAGATCTTACCTACAAAATAGATCCCAAATTGTCCAAATAGAGAACTACGACACAAAAACAAATGAAATCAAAACAACTCGATCACAAGAAATAAAATAACATGTTCAATACCACAAGGTAGTGTCCTTGGATGTGTATTATTTTTACTGTACATCAATGATCTACCAAAAATTCTAAACAAAGACCTAACCCTACCAGTATTATTTGCAGATGATATATCCATTCTGATAAAATATGACAAATCAGAATTCCCTACACCTATTTTACAAGACACCTTAGAATCAGTAACACGATGGCTTGACGATCACAACTTAGAGATAAACTACACTAAAACTAAAACAGTACAATTCAGATCTTATAAAACTCCCCCCCTAACAATAGACACTTCCTTTAGAAACACAACTTTACAAACTGTAGACACATTTAACCTACTCGGCATAAACATAGACACCCATATAAACTGGAAAGCTCACATAGAACACATAAAATCAAAATTATCAAAATTTACATACGCTCTTTTCCAAATTAAATGCAGTACCAATATCGAGACGGCACTATCAGCTTACTTCGCATATGCGTACTCCTGGTTGAGATACGGCATTATGCTATGGGGAGATAGTGTAAATATTCATGACCTATTCATATTACAAAAAAAATGCATACGAATCATAGCCCAAATAGATAACCAAGACAGCTGCAGGCCCTATTTTATTGAATACAATCTTTTAACACTACCATCCATATATATCTATGACATATGCAAGTTTGTATTCAAAAATAGTCATAAGTGGCCCCACGGATGCTTTTCTTGTTGTTGGTGACTTCAACATGAGTAGTATTAATTGGGTGTTGTCCGAGAATCAATCTTTCGTTCCTATCAACCCAGTGGGTCATGACGAAATTATGCTTAGTGATGAATTACATACCCTCGACCTTGGTCAATACAACGGTGTTCATAATCGATATGGCAAAATTCTAGATTTGGTACTTTCTAACCGATTAGTCGATGTGACCGAATGCCCAAGTCCGTTGGTTCCCATCGATGCTTACCACCCAGCACTTTTAATTGGTGTAAATTTCATTGCCCCTCTATTGGAATGCGCGACTCGGACACAGTTCTTATTCGACAAGGGTGACTACGAATCTATTAACAAAGAGATTAGTACAACCTGCTGGGAATCTGAGTTTGCGACACGATCAATTGATGATTCAGTAACTTTTTTCAATCAAAACATTATTAATTTACATTTAAAACATATCCCACAGAAATTACAACGTAAAATGCATATCCAACTTGGTACAACTCATCATTGATTAATACAATTAAAGAAAAATATAAGTATTTAAAAAAATTTAAGACTTACGGCAACGTAGCTGATCAGTTAACATTTAAGCTTCTTCGTCAAAGGGTGAAGGAGTTGGAATCTGAGTGTTATAAGAACTACCTCATCTTAACCGAAAACTCAATCAAAGTAAACCCGAAGCACTTTTGGACCTTCGTTAAAAAAAGACACAACTCACATGCAATTCCTAGTACCCTAAATTACAACAATGAAATGTTGTGTACCGGAAACTCAATATGTGAGGCTTTCTCGAAATACTTCCAATCTACTTTTCTTGATACCAGTCCAACTTCTTATAGTGGGCGTTTCAATCCCTCAGCTGGACCTCCGGCTCTGTCCGATATTTGCAGTGTCGAGGTAAGCGAGGATGAGGTTTCCAGGTTACTTCGTAAACTGGATACATCTAAAGCAGCGGGCCCTGATAACATTTCATCCAAATTTCTTGTACGGTGTGTAACGTCAATTACCCGGCCCATTACTATTTTATTTAGGAAGTCTCTAGATTGTTGCATCGTGCCCAAACTTTGGAAATCGGCATTTATAACACCAATTCACAAAAAAGGAGTAAAAACTGAAATAATTAATTACAGACCAATTTCTAAACTATGTATCATAGCAAAAATCTTTGAAAGAATTATCTACAATCAGGTATATAGTGCGCTCAATAACTCCTTTAGTTCTTTCCAACACGGTTTTTTGAAGGGAAGGTCCACCGTCACTAACTTAATTCTTCTTAACGATTTCATTACTGATGCTATGGACAGGGGTGGGCAGGTCGATGTCGTTTATACAGACTACAGTAAAGCTTTTGATCGAATTCAACATGAAATATTATTATCTAAGATGGATAGTGTGGGAATACGTGGTGATCTACTCAGATGGTTTTCCTCGTATCTGAGAAACCGGTCCCAAGCAGTAGTATTAAGTAATTATATGTCTGGTTGGGTACCTGTCCCCAGTGGAGTCCCGCAGGGTTCTTTGCTAGGCCCATTACTCTTTATCATCTATATAAATGACATTGATTCGTGTCTGATCTCATCAAAGTTACTGTGTTTTGCCGATGATATGAAAATCTTTTCAAAAATATCATCACAGACCGATGTGGCTGCGTTACAGGTTGACCTGTGTCGACTGGAAGCTTACTGTCGTGAGTGTAGGCTGGATCTAAATCCCTCAAAATGTTCGGTGGTGACATATTCCCGAAAGCGCACTAATATAGTTGCATCATATACCTTGGGAGATCAAACACTTCCTAGATCAGATATCATCCGAGATCTGGGGGTTCATCATGACACTAAGCTCACTTTTGAGGCTCATGTTAATGCCATTGTTGCTAAAGCTTCAAAGTCATTGGGCTTCATTATGCGTCTATCTAAGTGCTTCACTCAATCAAAAACTTTAAAAATTCTATACTGCACTTTTGTTAGAAGTCACTTGGAATATGCGTCTGAAGTGTGGAACCCGTGTTATCACAAATACATTGATCGTATTGAAAATATCCAGAAGAAATTCATCAAGTATCTGTGCTATCACCAGGGTGTCCCATACCGGTCTGAAGATTACTACAGTCTCTGTAAGAAATATCACATCTTACCGCTTAAGGACCGCCGAGCAATAAGCGATTGCACCCTAATAATTAAAATCTTAACAAATAATATTGACAGTTCCGATATTCTAGCGAGATTGTTTCTCAATGTTCCTGGAAGGTCGAGGAGATGGTTTCCACCGCTACGTGTTCCATCCTCCTCTACCAATTATAGGCAAAACTCGTATTTTGTGCGTGCAATTAAGGAATTTAACAGCGTGTGCAAGCAGCATGATCTTGACCTTTTTAATATTAAAGTATCTACGGTCAGGAGGTGCCTGAGCCTTTCTTTTTTTTATTAAGTAACATAATAGGGAACGCGGTTGAACTAATATTATGCGAGGTAATCTGTCTGTATAGTGTTCAGATGTTTATTGGTATAGATTAGTGATTTAGTACTTTGTTTCTTTTTATTTTGTTATTATTTGTTTTTATTATTATAATAATTTTGTAGGGAGTACTGTGTCGACCACATTCTTTTATAGCATAAGTTTGTTTTTTATATGTGAAGACTTGTCATTGGCTGTCAGACTCTCACACAATGTCATAATTTTTGTTTTGTTAGCTGTTAGTCTTCCAAAGTTGTTAAATAAATAAATAAATAAATAAATAAATAAATAAAAATAAAGATAATTTCACGAAAGTAAAAGACACCCATAATGTAAATACCCGACATAAAAACAGACTGTACCTACCACCATCTAGAATTAAAATGCTTAACCAAAGTCCTTACTACATGGCTGTCAAAATATTCAATAGATTACCTAAAGACCTACAAAACGAAACTAAAGAAATTATATTTGAAAGAAAATTAAAAAAGTTCCTAATACAAAAATGCTTTTACTCGACAAAAGAATTCTTCGAAGAAAAATATAACACCAAAATTAAATGTTAAACCTACCCCATACATACACCCACAAGCACACACCAACATACTATACATTTTAAATATAAATATTCTATGTATATACAATATACTATACATTTTAAGAATACCCACTTACATTTTGCACTTACCCACTAATATATTATATACCTTAAGAACTTACCTACATATATTCCGAACAAATAAATAAATGTAAAAAAATGTTAACCAAAATGTAATTTATAGTAAGCTGGTGACACCCCTAAAATTTGCAACGCCTGAAAAAGGCCGTTAAGCTGTGCCTGTTATTTCATAAGACCTGTATGTATTACCTTAACATGCAAATAAAGAGTTTTGAGTTTGAGTTTTGAGTTTGACACCACTGACAAATGGTGAAAGAAAACACCGTGAGAAAATCTGGGCTTATAATTTCTGATTATAAGTTAGAATTTTCAATCAACCCGCATTGAGCAAGCGTGGTGATTAATGCTCAAAGCTTCTCCGTGTGAGAAGAGGCTTTGCTCAGCAGTGGGCATTTATAGGTTGTTGACGATGTTTTTAAACGCAGTTTTTATTTTTTATTTTATTGTAATAATTTATTTTTGACATAAAAAGACCATCCAATTACACAACACTCACCGCTTATCACTCTCTCCAACGTGTTTAGAATGAGTATGCATATGATGGACTAGGCTCGCTCGGTTCTTGAAGTAAGTCTTGCATTCGACACAGAAAGCCTTGAAGTCTGTAGTAGCGTGGGCCGACTTCTGATGGGCCTCAAGCCCCGACCTAGCTCTATACTGTTTGTTACATTCCTCGCATTTGTATTGACGCGATGACTGTTGATGTACTGTACTGGAAAAAGGTATATAATTTTTTTTTAAATCTACTAGAAACAAAGTTACATATATACAAGGGACCCCTGAAGTCGACGATCAAATGGCACAAGGTGAACGGCAAGGTTCCTATAGTATTTTGACAATACGGTTAGTGTGGTGGCTGTGCAACGTCACCCCTTATTAATTGGGACTCGTAATATAAATAGTGAAAAGTGGGTGTTACATTGTAACAGTCAGTGGCATTAAGTGCCGTAATGTGCATCTCTGCCTATCCCTTCGGGGATAAAAAGCACGATGCTATGTTAGGTATGTTAAGAGGTGGTTTAGGTAGGAGTGACCATTAGACTAATCTTATACTCTTATACTATTATATAAAGCGGAAGAGTTTGTTTTTTGTTTATTTGTTTGAACGCGCTAATCTCCGTAACTACAAGTCTGATTTGAATAATTCTTTTTGTGTTGGATAGCGCATTTATCGAGGATGGCTATAGGCTATAAAACATCACGCTACGACCAATAGGAGCTAAACAGAGCGTGTGAAACCGCGCGGAAGTAGCTAGTAAAATATAATATTTTTTATACTTACTACATATGCACTTTCAGTCCATTACTGTTCACGAACTGGTTCCCACATATACTGCAGGAAGGTTTCTCTTTATGTTTATCCAAATGATACCGATACGCACGGCGGGTACTGTAATAAAAATATTCATATTCAAAAAGATAAAGTTAACGATATTTTTTATTTGCGTTAACATGAGTCATATTACAAGAGTACATGCAATGGTGTTAAGTTAGGAGTATGAGCTACATGTTATGCCGTTTCGGCGTACAAATATTTAAATTACAAAAAAGCAAAAAAGACATAGAAGTCGATATTAAGTTACTGGTGAAACTAAAGCAAAAAAGACATAGAAGTCGATATTAAGTTACTGGTAAAACTAAAGCAAAAAAGACATAGAAGTTGATATTAAGTTACTGGTAAAACTAAAGCAAAAAAGACATAGAAGTTGATATTAAGTTACTGGTAAAACTAAAGCAAAAAAGACATAGAAGTTGATATTAAGTTACTGGTAAAACTAAAGCAAAAAAGACATAGAAGTCGATATTAAGTTACTGGTAAAACTAAAGCAAAAAAGACATAGAAGTTGATATTAAGTTACTGGTAAAACTAAAGCAAAAAACATAGAAGTTGATATTAAGTTACTGGTAAAACTAAAGCAAAAAAGACATAGAAGTTGATATTAAGTTACTGGTAAAACTAAAGCAAAAAAGACATAGAAGTTGATATTAAGTTACTGGTAAAACTAAAGCAAAAAAGACATAGAAGTTGATATTAAGTTACTGGTAAAACTAAAGCAAAAAATACATAGAAGTCGATATTAAGTTATTGGTGAAACTAAAGCAAAAAAGACATAGAAGACAATATTAACCGTTACAGGTACAACAAAATTATGTTAATTGTATTACAAATCTAATTTATCTTTTAAAAAATTGGTTGCCTGTAAAGTCGGTATACGGGCGAAAGTTTTACGTGACAACGACTTTGAGTGGTAAAATAATTTTAATGTGAATATTCATAGTAGGAAGAAGGATCAAATAATAGTAACAATTTAAAACATTTATTTATACAAAGAATTATATTTAAAACATTAATTTATACAAAAAAGCAAGACATGAACCGGTGTGTATGCCTATCTCTCTCACTCTCTCTCTCTCTCGCTCTTAGGCGGGCTAACTGTGCTCGAGTGAAAGGGACGCGTGCCTTTCACTTTTTATGTCTGTCTCTCTCGCTCTTAGGCGGGCTAACCATGCCCGAGTGGAAGGGACGCGTGCCTCTCACTCGCTCTCATTGTGAGCGCATAACGTAACGCAGTTTCTTGAAGTGTCACAACTTATAAGACGTTGTCATGTCAAAAATCTTCTATATTATAATAACGTTTCTTATGTAACAAACGTTTGAGTTTATTTTTAAACATGTTAAAATTTAAGGCTTGTATGGAATTATATAAATTTTCGGACCCAGACATAATATGCTTTTGTGCATCAATGCATTCATTTATTCAGGTATAATCATTACACATCTTCAGTGCCCAGCCGCTGTCAAAAGCTGTGTACATGACTGTGTGGTCAAAAGTTTAAAGATATTATGATCTTAAATCGTGGTAGACCTCATGTTTATGACGCCCGCTTCTCATGCATGAGGGCGCGGCTTCGAAACCTACCAACGGCCAGTACCAATGCGACTTTTCCGAATTATATGTACTTTCTAAGACTATTTAGACACTATTGACAAACGGTGAAGGAAAACATCGTAAGAAAACCTGAGCTTATAATTTCTAATTAAAGTTTGAAATCGCCAACCCGCATTGAGCAAGCGTGGTGATTAACCGCTTGAATGCCTGTATATGTGACACAATAGAAAATAAATTGTGTCTCGCGTGGATCCACGTTTAGACACACACGGGTTAATTTTTTTTATTATTATTAATGGGAGAAGCCCGCCACACCCTCCCAAAACCGCTGCAACTCCTGTAAGTCAGGATCTACAGTAGATACAACCATGAAAACACCGGAACACTGAAGTCCGGCGCGTCCCAGGGACATGAATAACTGTCTTGGTTCCCGTAACGAAGTGAATCAGAAGATATTATAAGAGGAGAAGAAGAAAAAACACGACGGGGTAATACTCAAACCTTCTCCGGGTGAGAAGAGGCCTTTGGTCAGCAGTGGGCATTTATAGGCTGTTATGAATGATCTTATACATTTTTTTTTTTTTTTTTAAGGGGGGAAAATCATCGAATGACTGCTCCCGCCTGGGTGAGGCGGAAGGGAGTGTCAGACTCTTACTGACAAAAAACCACCCCGTTCCTTCTCCTGCACGTCGAGCCGGAGCCCCGGTTACCCGTTAGGTTCTCCGCGACATGATCTTATAGATATGATAAATATGTGAATAAAGAACAAAAGTAATAATAATATGTTAGGAGAAATAATTATGTTATCCTAGTTGTAAGCATTTTTGTAATTGGTTTTATTGAATGTAAGAAATTAACTTTATTATATTGTAAAACTTAACTTTGCATGCCGAAAACAGTAGGCGATGTATGTGGGACTATTTTTTATAATTATTACTACCTGTAATTACCATACTTCGTGCAAATAAACGTTCTTATTCTTATTCTTATTATCCTTACCTAGCAGTAAATTCACATTTGTTGCAAGAGAATAATGTATTGGCATCGCCAGAATGCTGTTCAGTATAATGCTGGAGTGCTGAACTCATATGATTGTAGCGTTTCTGACATACCATACATTCCAGTCTGGAAGAAAATAAATTTTAAAATTAAATATAACGATACGTAGGGAGGCCTTTGCTCAGCAGTGGGACGAGAATATAATAAAATAAACCTATGATAATAATCGTAAAGCCTAATTTTTTTTATGCTTATGGCATAAGCCGGTAAACGAGCAGACGGATCAATTGATGGTAAGCAATCGGCGCCGCCCATGGACCTTTTTTTATATTTGATGGGGCGACGTTTGACCACTATCTCGCCTGGTGGTAAGCGATGATGCGGTCTACGATGGAGCACGTCGTCCCATAAGCAACCTATTCACTCGGGCCTTGAAGACTCCCAGGTTATACCCTTCAGGAAAAACACCTGGAACACCAGAGGCGTTACAAGTCCTTTTGGGATTAGGAATTTGAGGATTGTTGGATTCTGGGATTGGGGAGATTGAGAGAGGGGGTAAATTGGGCCTCCGGTAACATCACTCACACGACGAAATACAACAACAAACTATTTTTAATATTTAATTGGATTGAAAAATCAAAATAATTTATTTTTGACCCAGGAAACTACCCAATTCAATGAAATCTCAATAATTATTCAATTAAAACACTATACAACCCCTATCGTAGCTGTTAAAATAGCATTCAGAGTACGGAATATAAAGCCAAACTCAATACCATTTAGTTCATTCAATATCCACGCAATACGGATGCAATTGACGCTAGTGTTGCAACTCAAGAGTACGAAAATTCACAATACCAATGTCGATCGATCGGAATTGGATTCAATTCATTCTATTTATCATAGTTTGATATTTATATCCTACTAGCTGTGCCCGCGACTTCGTCCGCGTAGAATATGAATTTTAGGACATAACTCTATTTTATAATAAAAAAAAAAACCGACTTCAAAAATTAAAAACAAACGAAAACTAAAAAGCAAAAAATATATCTAATATTGGTCACACGTACTTATAGCTTACACACCCACTGATAGGTGAGAAAATAAAAAAATACGTGTCTATCTAATATTTTTTCATTATCTTGCTGACGGACTAATTAGATATTTAATTTTGATACCCTGGAAACTACCCAATTGTATCGCGTCAGTGGGACAACCTGGTGATCTGTGATACAGGTTCCATCTACAACAGACACCAGTCTCTGCTGTATATTACTGTGTAAAATGATAATGAGAGAAATATTAAAATATTATGGGGCTACTGGCATACTATGGCAATAGGCTCACCCCCTATTACATGGGACTCATAAAATAAATAGTGAAAAATGGGTGTTACATTGTACAGTGGCATAATGTGCAGCTCTGCCTACCCCTTCGGGCTTAAACGGCGTGATGTTATATTATGTTATGTTGTATTTTTGCTCAACAGATGGCGCTAGTTTGATCCTCTAGTTCTTCGTCCAATAGAGAATTAGCTAGCGTCACACCATTGGACGTTCAATATTTGACAGCTGCTGTGATTGGACAAACAATTTTTTGATACATTTACGCCCCCTGGTGACCGAAAATACAGAGACCCACATTCGAACCGGTAGTTAGGGACAAACAAATAAACAAACTTTTCAGTTTTATATATTAAGCATACATTACAAAGTGTGGGAGAGTCATGCTTCGGCACTGCTAGGCTCGACAGGAGTGAAAACCATAGTGAAACAACCACAGCGTTGTGTTTCGTCGTGTGAGTGAGGTTACCGGCGGCCCAATATCCCCCCCCCCCCCTTCCTCCTTCCCCAATCCTCGAATTCTTAATCCCAAAAGGCCGGCAACGCACTTGTAACGTCTCTGGTATGCCGGGTGTCCATGGCGACGCAGATTGCTGACCACCACAGATGGGGGCCCCATTAGGGCTGATGCCGATACGGAGCCGCGGAAGACTTAACGAGTTACCGGGGCTCCGGCTCGAAGTGCAGGATTAAGAACGGGGTGGTTTTTAGTCAGTAAGAGTCTGACACTCCCTCTCGTTTCACCCAGGCGGGAGAAGACAATGGATGATTTTCTCCCCTCAAAAATAAAAAAGGGTGGGAGGAGACGTTATTTTGATAATTTTCCACACAGGTAGTACTGCAATATCGATCAATATACCTTGAATTGGTGTCAAACTGGCACTAGTTAATTATTCCACTGTAGTTCTAATTCATAATGACAAATAGTCATAGACAGATAGATACAGGATCATTTTGTTATCAATAAAATACTTAATATGAGCTGATAGTAAAACTAATACATACATACATAACTTTACGCCTGTCTCCCATGGGAGTAAGCAGGGAGTATGCAGCCAATTACAATGATCGAAACTAGTAGAGCTTTGTTCTGTGGTTCGAAACTAGTAGAGCTTTTCTCAGTATATTCACGTGAGTAACCCGCGTTTTTACTTAATTTAGTATGTCTCACGATAGTTATTATAATTACTATTTGTGTTTTCGATTTATTCTTGCATTTTCTTCAGATATAAGTGTGCTATTTGACGCGAAAATATGATGACGTCATAAGCTAGTATTGCGTACAAAATAGTACTAGTTGTCAACTACCGTATTGACATTGAGATTGTTTCAGGAGTAAGCGTAAATAGTATTTACCTTCTATAATGTCTCTGGACATGCTCTTTGAAGGTAACTTTTGTACTCAGCGTGGATTTACAGACATTGCATTCGAAACCATCTTCATCCTGAAAGAATCATAATATAACATTAACTTATAGACAACCTCGTCGGTTTGGTCGAATGGTTGATTGGTAGGTCGAACAAAAATTATTGGATTTTAAAAATTTCAAGCAACCCTTTTTTTTTTTTTAAGGGGGGATATCATCGAATGACTGCTCCCGCCTGGGTGAGGCGGAAGGGAGTGTCAGACTCTTACTGACTAAAAACCACCCCGTTCCTTCTCCTGCACGTCGAGCCGGAGCCCCGGTTACCCGTTAGGTTCTCCACGACTGGCGCTGTGTGTTGGGTTGTTCAGTTCCCTATAAAAAGGTTGACGGGACCCTATTTTTTTCTTTTTTAAGGGGGGAAATCAAGCAATCCCTATTTATAATAGTCAGCGCATTGAATCGTCTTGCCAAAACTGAACATATCAATTTCAAGCTTAACTCAACTGCGTAACGCACATATTTGATACCTACTTCTGAGATTTTAAAAAGTCCCGCGCATATTTCGATTGATCTACGCTGATTCAGATCTCAGAAGAAGGTAATGTGTGTGTTACGCTGTGGAGTTAAGGTTGAATTTGTTATATTCAGTTTTGGAAAGCCACTTCATCAACAGCCTATAAATGCCCACTGCTGAGCAAAGCCTCTTCTCACACGGAGAAGGTTTGTGCATTAATCACCACGCTTGCTCAATGCGGGTTGGCGATTTCAAACTTATAATTAGAAATTATAAGTCCAGGTTTCCTCACGATGTTTTTCCTTCATCGTTTGTCACAGGTGTCTAAATAATCTTAGAAAGTACATATAACTCGGAAAAAGTCACATTGGTACTTGCCGTTGGTAGGTTTCGAACCCGCACCCTCATGCATGAGAAGCGGGCGTCTTAAACCTCCGGGCCACCACGACTGACAGCCACTTCACGTTTTCTTTTTTTTTTAAACCTTGCACTACACTAGGATTTTCCCTTTGTGCGTTTACAAACATACAAGTTCATATACACACCACACCCATCAATATCTTGTGGATCGTAGAGTTGCTTCGTGCGGGAATCGAATCCGCTGCACGTTGTACGGCAGCCAATTGCCCAGCTACCGCGCCAACCGTGCAGTCAATGCGCTTTGCCTTTACGCTACAATAAATTGACCCTTAAACTGAGATAGGTGATATTTAACGTCATTTTTAGCAACCTATAAGTGTCACCTAACAGTAAGGGGTTAGTTTAGGTGCTTTGTTACGTTAAGAAAACTTTTAGGGTGGAGTAAAAACGGCCACATCTTACCTTTTTATGCCTCCCCTCATTATGATTCTGCAGTGTCAGTTCATGATCAAACGCCAAGATGCAAAGCTCACACTTATACGGCAATTTCAGATACTTTTCATCCGCAGCCATTTTCTCTCGTTCAATCCTCAAATCGTCTTCAGTCAAATACACAGTTTTAATCTTTCCTTCGTAACGCATATCTCTTTTTCTCTTATTTTTATTCGTTTGTAATACTGATAACGGTACTTCAGTATCGTTGTCCGATGATTCCATTTCATTCTTCAGTTCTTCGGTGTCCGAAGTATTGTCGGTTACCGGTTCTATTTTAATATCTTTCTCAACTTCAATAATGGTGAGGTGTGTAAACGATTTAATTGGTGCTATTTGCATATTGTGCAGTTTATTTATTTTTAGTATCGGAGCCTGTGGGTTGAAAATGTATTTAATTATGGGGGGCTTAGGGTTTGTTTTTCAATAATCTCCTACCACTCAGATTATATCATCTCCGCATGATAGCCAAAGGTGAGGTAAGAATCCTGTCTTAAAGTTACGTTTAAACTGTCGAACACCAAGTGGTCACCGGTGACCGCAACCTATTGTTCTTTAATTGTGTCTATAATGACGGTACTCAACGAGTTAAACTGACCGGTGACCGCAACCTATTGTTCTTTAATTGTGTCTATAATGACGGTACGCAAAGAGTTAATTTCTTTTTAATAAGGCATAAATAATTATCCTTCATTTCCTATTAGAGAACTGTTATGGTATAGAAACGGAACTACTAGCACTTTTTTTAATTTTTTTATTGATAAATAGTTTCTGATACAAGTAATTTAATAATCGGTAATGTATGTCGTATAAGAGACAATTTAGTTACCTTTAAAATGAGAGCATTTCGTTGTATAAGGGTTTTTTAAGTTATAGAGGGTTCAATAAAATGAAAAAAAAAACACTAGTGGCTCCGTTTCTTTGCTCCCAAAATATATGAATTATTTAGTTTACTATAAAAATGAATAAATTCATAAATATGATTAGACTACTACTAGACATACCTGATTTAGAAGTAATGCTACACTGTCCTCGACCTGCTGTTTAAATACTTCTATTTTTTTCAGCATATTATGGCATAAGTTGCAGATGTACATCTTTTTTAGTTCAAGCTGCAATGAGCAAACAATTTCACACAAAACATAAATATTTGAATAAAAAAAATAGTACAGTACAGCCATCTTGAAATGGCTTCTTCACATTCTGATGCCAATACAAAATGCCGTTCCTATACTTAGAAATTATGAATTCATCAATGAAATTAAGGTAAAAAGTATTTGAAACTTATTGAACAAGTAAAAGATTATTAAATTTAAATATTGTATGAATAACTCACCTCTAAATTTAAGTAATTAGTTAAAAAAATCGTATGTTTACATGTACTCATGTTTATTAGAACGGGACTTTGTGAGGTGCAGCAGATACATACTAGAGCGTAGCTGTTAGAATCTTGCATGTTTAAATGTAAGAATGAAGACATTTTCATTTAGACAAGTTCTATTATTTCGGTAACGATCTTCGGACATTCCTATCCGTAACACATTTGTTGTTTTTTCGACGTAAGGACGTAATGTCAGTGGCCTTTCCTTTGATGACATTCGAACCCACGTTTCATTTCGCTTATGTGTGTATTGCATTCATTTGAGTCAATAAAAATATTTTTTTACTCAACAATTAATAATAATAACGTAATATATTACGTTATTATTATATTAAAATGTTTATTAATTGATTTGTCTGATCAATTTTCTTAATTTTCTTATATAGGTTTTCTCTCTTTTGTAATCTTAAACAATAACGAAACGTTTTTGACATTTAAACAATGATGGCGTTCGCGTAAGCTTCCTGAGCTTTCGCGCAAAACATTTCATTTATTTCATTATTTATTTTGAATTTCTGAATGAAATACGTCGTAATAATTGTGTTATAACGTTAATTATTCGATATGGATTCTGAAGAAAATGGTTTATGTTGTGGGTGCCTTAGTACGGGGCGAAAAATGATATTACAAGTCGAGTATTGGAAGAAACTTACGTTTTCACAAATAATCAATGAATTTACTGTAAGTATTTACTTAAAAAATGTTTCATATGGGTTAACGATCACATAAACATATAAATCTCTACATAAATCTATTCTTATTAGACCTAAGTAAATATATTGTATGTTACTTTCAAATTATCGTTTCACTTAGTTCAGTCTCCTTTCGCATATTAATTTAATACGGCATTAATGTATTAAACTCCCAGATGGTAATTCGAACATAAGCTTCATTATTAATGGTCATATTGTAAGAAATATGTCCCATACATGTTGGTTGTCTAGGTGTTACTGATAAATATAAAATAACATAATAAAATAAAACAAGAATATTTTAAAGGAATGCTTTACTTTTTTATTATGGTATATGAGAAAGTAATTTTTTTTATATTAAATTAAACTTAATTGTAATAAAAGTGACAATAACACAGTAGTATCTTTTAAAACCAATTAGTTTATTTAATCACAATTCCAATAGTATTAAGAATTATAATTTTATTTAGAATTACGACTGCCTCGATGGACGAGTGGCTGCAAGTGCGACTTTTAGGCAAGGAGTCTCGGATTCGATTCCGGGTTCGGGCAGTGGTAGCATGGAGTCTGGAAATGTGCCCGGTATATGGCGTTAGGCTCACCCCCTATTACATGGGACTCATAACATAAATAGTGAAAAGTGGGTGTTACTTCTGTGTGCACCTCTGCCTACCCCTTCGGGGATAAAAGGCGTGATGTTATGTATGTATATATGTATTTATGTATAAAATTACATTAGAATATATAATATTGTCAGGTACTATATAATTTTTCCAAAGGAAAACATTTATAAAAACTAGTATGTACCTACCTACCCAACATACATAGTTTTTATAAATTTTTAGCGACATACCTCTTTAGTGATTAACCATACAATAAAATAAATTGAAAACATTATTATGTTTTTCGGCTTGCTCACGTAATTATTTGACGAGGAACTCAACTAGTTTCAAGCCATGCTAGAGGCTCATATTCATGAACAGCATTCCACAACCCGTAATGTGGCGACTGCACTATAATGTAGCAGTTTAGTATGTCTCAGGAAAGGTATAATATTACCTCATAACATAACTTCACGCCTTTTATCTCTGACAGGGAAGGCAGAGGTGCACATTATGCCACTACAATGTAACACCCACTTTTCACTATTTACGTTATGAGTCCCATGTAATAGGGGGTGAGCCTATTGCCATATACAGAACACAATTCCAGACTCCATGCTATTATGTACTGAGAATTTTATAAAGAGCCAGTAGTATTGTGCCCGACCCGGGAATCGCTGCGAGGACCGGCCGGAGGACACGGTGAAGCATACCGTGGCGATGAATCGATTGTGATGATATTTGTTACAGTTGTACAGTCGTAGAATATACCTTGACAAAAACTAATTAAAAAACCCAATTTATACAGAAGTCACTATTTCACGCGGACAAAGTCGCGGGTAACAGTTAGTATACTTTATATTATAGCGATACAATAAACATAACATAACGTCACGCCTTTTATCCCAGAAGGGGTAGGCAGAGATGCACATTATGCCACTGTACAATGTAACACCCACTTTTCACTATTTATGTTATGAGTCCCATGTAATAGGGGGTGAGCCTATTGCCATATACCGGGCACATTTCCAAACTCGTGCTACTACTGAGATTTTTAAAAATCCAGTAATACTTTGCCCGACCCGGGAATCGAACCCGAGACCCCTTGCCCGGCAGTCGCACTTGCTACCACTCGGCCAACGAGGCAGTTGGTTAAGAGACTGGCGTATTAAGGCTAATGAATCCAAATCTGTACAAGTCGCATAACGCTCAAATATTATTATTAATCATTCTTTATTTACCGTTAGACCTTCCTGTAAGAATTCAGAGTCAGAACACCGCGATGCGACTTTGATTTTTGATACAAGATTTTGGATTAGACTTTTGATAAAGACTAATACAAAACCCCAATTTATACATAAGTCACTATTTCACGCGGACGAAGTCGCGGGTAACAGCTAGTATACTTTATATTATAGTGATACAATAAAATTAATTAAAAATGTATTCTATCTTAATGTTGCAGTTATCCGATGGAGACAGTACTCCAGTATGGTTGTGCTGGGAGTGTGACGCCAACCTACACCAGTTCACGAAGTTCAAGAACAAAGTCAAGACCTCCTACGTGATGTTCCTTGATTTTGTTAAACAGGTAATATCATGATTTTATAATAACTATCGTGAAACATACTAAATTAACTAAAAATCGTGGGTTACTCACGCGAAAGTAGGCTACGCGACGTCGCCGCAACCGAGCACGCTGCTCATGAGGAAGAACCCCTCTGTGGTTCGAAACTGGTTGAGCTTTTCTCAGTATATTCATGTGAGTAACCCGCGATTTTTAATTAATTTAGGTAATGCTGATCAAAGTCAAAATCATTTATTTCAATAAGACCAGAAAGGCACTTTTGAATGTCAACAAAAAATTTATAAGTGAAGCTATTTAACACATCGATTACTGTTTTTCAATCAGGTTCACACTACAATTTTTATGGCTTCAATTGTATAAGGACAATCTAACACCAAAATGCAGTGAAAGATATTCTTCACTTCAGTCTTAATTTTTTTATTGGATCTATTATGTATGTACACACATACAACACAAAGGAAAATACATACATCTAATATATAAAATTGTCGTGTCACAGTTTTCGTTGCCATACTCCTCCGAAACTGTTACTTATTCGGTATCTATGAGAATCGGCCAACATCTATTTTTCATCCCCTAAATGTTAGGGGTAGTCCACCCCTAATTATTATTTTTTAAACAAAATTTTTCATTTCTATTTTTTTATGATACAACATACAAAAATACATATTATCCTCAATTTTCACCCTTCTACGATCAACCTTTATTTTTTAATAGCTATTTTTGTAATTATTTATATGGCAAAACAACGTTTGCCGGGTCAGCTATTATTAATAGGTATATAAAAACAGAGTCCCTATATATTCCAACTAGAATTTCTTTCGGTAGGCCTGTGGCAGGAAATGGAATAACGACACCGAGACACAGTGTGTTTTTTTATTTTATTTTATTTTAAAAGACTTCATGCACACACTAATGAACAAAGGTGGGCTTAATGCCTGGGGCATTCTCCTCCAGCCAGACCTTTGGGTGATGCAGAGATAAAAACAATGGTCGATGCAAGAAGCAAGCGTATTTGAGACTCAACAGTAATGCATTACTGTTGAGTCTTAAATACGCTTGCTTAAAAAAGGATAGTATAGACTTACACAAAATAAATCCCTATATAAACTTACATGTATATGACATAACAATAAACTTACACAATTATATTACATATACTACTTAGACGTAACATAACTATACATAGTATATTGATAGTTACGACTCTGCCAATCTCTTCAAAAGTAGCTCCCGCACCTTCCGCTTGAATGACAATTTACAAATCAAATTTACAATCGTTTTTGTTAATAATTTTGACTCCGACTTTGACGAAGACAATATGATGAAGATGAAGAAATGTGGTTCTAAATTTTTTACAATGATTTTTTTTCACAGAACACGAAACTATCACAGTTTCAACCTCGACCTCGTCTCACAAACCATGTTTTATACAACTTTGACACCTTAAACACAGACCACAAGCCATTCCAAATTATACCTTCACAAAACTCAGAAATATCCATAAAAGAAGAATTCACCGACATAATAGAAGATAATAATTCAGATGATGAGAAACTAATCGTTTATAAAACTTATAATAAACAAAAGAATGGCAGATTAAAGAGGAAAAGGAGAAAGAGAAATGTAGATAGAGATAGAGATTTAGAATTGTTTGAAGAAGTTGAGTTGAGTGCAGAAGAGTTGTCGGAAGAAAGAAGAGTCGCGTTGTTAAGAGAAGAGTATGTTAATGCGATGTTTAAGTGTGAAAAGTGTATTCTGTCTTTTCCTAATGCGGAGGATTTGAAAGATCATTTGCATGTTAAACATGAATTGGTATGTATTTTAATCTGTTATTTTACTAGCGATCCGACCCTGCTTCTCACGGGTGCAATATGCATGTATTATACAAAAATCACTCTATCTATTAAAAAAACCGCATCAAAATCCATTGCGTAGTTTTAAAGATCTAAGCATACATAGGGACAGACAGGCGGCGGATAGCGACTTTGTTTTATACTATGTAGTGATATTCATTTTAATTTTAAAACATATTTCATATTCAATATTTATTGACCATCGGCGCAGTTATTGTATTAACCGATGTCAAAGAAAGAAGGTTTTCAGTTTTTAACCTCAGTTCATTTCTCAGTGTGTATTTTTTTTATGGAATAAGCCGGTAAACGAGCAGACGGATCACCTGATGGTAAGCAATCGACGTCGCACATGGACACACAGAACACCAGAGGCGTTAGAAGTGCGTTACCGGCTTTTTCGGGATTAGGAGTTTGAGGATTGTTGGGGATTCAGTGATTGGGTGATAATTGGGCCTCCGGTAATTTCACTCACATTACGAAACACATCGTAGTTGTTTCACTATAGTTTTCTGCTCGGCCGTGGTATTACTCCGGTCGAGCCGACCCAGCAGTGCCGAAGCATGGCTCTTCCACACTAAATACGCTCCCCTACACGTATGTATGTTTGTCTGCGATTATTTAGCAATTGGCTAAACCGATGACTGCCTCATTGGTCGAGTGGTCGCAAGTGCGACTGCCGGGCAAGGGGTCTCGGGTTCGATTCCCGGGTCGGGCAAAAGTATTACTGGGTTTTTAAAAATTCTCAGTAGTAGCACGGAGTCTGGAATTGTGCCCGGTATATGGCAATAGGCTCACCCCCTATTACATGGGACTCATAACATAAATAGTGAAAAGTGGGTGTTACATTGTACAGTGGCATAATGTGCACCTCTGCCTACCCCTTCGGGGATAAAAGGCGTAATGTTATGTTGTTGTTGTTGTTTTATTAAAAATATTTCTTTTTTACAGAACAAATCTAATTACAAATGCGAAATATGCGAATGTTCGTTCGCGTCCGAGGTATCATACAACTATCATAGGAATAAACACATCCGTCGATATGAGTGCAGTGTATGTATGGAGCGCTGTGTCAGCAAGCGCGCTGTGGCCAAACACTATGAGAGCACGCATTGTCATGGGTGAGTCATCGTCATCATCAACTGTGAGTTTTGCGTCACATCACATCACATCAACAGCCTATCAGTGGCCACTGCTAACCAAAGGCCTCTTCTAACACGGAGATGGTTTAAGCATTAATCACCACGCTTGCTCAATGAGGGTTGGCGATTTCAAACGTACAATTAGAAATTTTAAGCCCAGGTTTCCTCACGATGATTTCCTTCACCGTTTGTGAGTGGTGTTTAAATAAATAATCTTAGAAAGTACATATAACTCGGAAAGGTCACATTGGTACTTGCCGTTGTTGGTAGGTTTTGAACGCACACTCTCATACATGAGAAGGGGCGGGCGTCCTAAACCACCACGAAATCGATTTAGATTCTCGCACGGAACAACTCTTTGTGTGATCCACAGATTGTTGTTTCGGGTCTGGGTGTCATGTGTATGTGAACTTGTATGTTTGTAAACGCACACACGACACAGGAGAAAATCGAGCAAGAAACTCTATTCGTTACTCTTTTTAAAAAAGTATGTTCTACAATGTCTCTGATACATATTTCAATACTGTACGTATATGTGAGAACAATGCAAAGACATGCTTGACGCATTATACTAATTACAAAACTTATTAAATTAAAAAATCAAAACAAACATAAAAAAATAATCTTATAGTCAGCATGGTGCTCACATATGCATACTGACAATCTATCAAATAGTGCTTATATACAAGAAAAAGGAGCGTACGGCGCGTCGCGTTCCGCGCGCGGCTCAAAGAGCCATCAGACCACCACAGATGGGGCACAATAGGGCTGATGCCGATTCGGAGTCGCGGAGAACCTAACGGGTGCAGGAGTAGGAACGGGGTGGTTTTTAGTCAGTAAGAGTCTGACAGTCCCTCCCACCTCACTCAGGCGGGAGAAGTCATTCGATGATTTTCCCCCCTTAAAAAAAATACAAGAAAAAGGAAACTACTAACTAAGTAGTGGAGAGCTGTCACCGGTGACCGATCAGTGGTAACTGCCCGATTGCAGGATAAATACCTCTTCTCTGACGAAAAGAGAGAAGGAATGCCTTATGATCTATTATTTTTTAATTTACAGACCATCAATAGACATAGATGTACGAAATAATCACATGGAATTAGTAACACAGCATCATAGAAAGGAAGTAGACACACAAAATGAACAAAATGGACTCCCGAAAGACACTGAAGAAGGCATTGATGATAGGTAAATATGATTTTTATTATAATACTAGCTACTACCGCGCCCTGCGCACGCCTGACCAGACCAGAGACCCGGGGCTTACTCTTGAATCCAATTCCGATCGATCGACATTGGTATTGTGAAATTTCGTACTCTCGAGTTGCAACACTAGCGCCTATTGCATCCGTATTGCGTAGATATTGAATGAACTAAATGGTATTGAGTTTGGCTTTATATTCCGTATTCTGAATGTTGAACAGCTATGTGGTTGTATAGTTTTAACATTGAATAATTATTGAGATTTTATTGCATGGAAATTGCATTGACATTGAGATTGGTTTCAAGAGTAAGCAACCAATTTCGAGAATCGAGCGTACGGCGCGTCGCGTTCCGCGTGCGCCTCAAAGAGTCATCAGACCACCACGGATGGGGCCCAATAGGGCTGATGCCGATACGGAGCCGCGGAGGACTTAACGGGTTACCGGGGCTCCGGCTTGAGGTGCAGGAGTAGGAACGGGGTGGTTTTTAGTCAGTAAGAGTCTGACACTCCCTCTCGCCTCACTCCTGCACTTCGAGCCGGAGCCCCGGTTACCCGTTAAATTCTCCGCGGCTCCGAGGCAGAGACTATAGAACGCCAATTTTTTTTTGTATGAGATTAGCCGGGCAGACGGATCACCTGATGGTAAGCAATCGGTGTCGCCTATAGACACCTGGAACACCAGAGGCGTTACAAGTGCGTTACCGGCCTTTTGGAATTAGGAATTTGAGGATTGTTGGGGATTCAGGGATTGGGGAATTGGGCAATTGGGCATCCGGTAAAATTGCTACTATTCCTACGACAATACACATGTGTATCAATAATAATTTTAATATTTTTCAGTACAAACTCGGCCCCACTATTTGCGTGTGATTCATGCAACAAATCGTTCAAGTGGAAGGCGTCGCTACGTAAACACATGGAGATACATCGGATTGAGACCGGACAGAAACGGAAACCGTACTGCGAACCGTGCAAGTAAGTTGGCATTAGTTTGAGGTAGGCAGAGGTGCACATTACGGCACTTAATGCCACTTTAGTGAGTGAATTTATTTCTGCAAATAGGGTACAAGGCAGCACTTTTACACGTCAATTTTATCAAGCAAACGATGAGGTCGACATTTCCTAACTGACTACTCTGAGAAGAAATGCCGAAACAAACTCAGAGGTCTGTCTCTTTTAAAGTCCAGACAATATGTATAATAGATTATGTGTGACAACCGTGCAAGTTCTTTCTGTAGTGGCCTTTTGAGGAAAGAACCACAACAGTTTGAGCGGACCCGTTCTGAACAATGTAACACCCACATTTCACTATTTATGTTATGAGTCCCATGTAATAGAGAGTGAGCCTATTGCCATATACCGGGCACAATAGGGTTAATGCCTAATTTTTATTTTAATGTCCGTCTGGTAGATTATTTTAAATCATTAGACACGTATTTTTTATTTTCTTACAGAAACGAATACTTTCGACGATATATTGATTTGAAATGTCGCGTGACGTCACTTCTATGTATACATTTTGTACGTAGAAATGACGTCTAAACTTTGATTCGTTTTATCTAAGTATTGTTTTATTATACGACAAAATAAAAAAAATACGTGTCTAATATTTTTTTATTACCTAACTGACGGACTAATTAGATTTTTAATTTTCATACCCTGCCATCATCCCTATTCCAGACTCCGTGCTAACACTGAATTTTTTTTTAAAAAACCAATCGTACTTTGCCTGACCTGGGAATCGTATCCGAGACCCCTTGCCCGGCAGTCGCACTTGCGACAACTCGGCCAACGAGGCCGTCATTCATAAATTACGTCACACAAATTTCATGATTATGAGCCTCCACTGCCCTCACTCACACGACGAAACACAACGCAAGCGTTGCTTCACGTCGGTTTTCTGCTCAGCCGTGGTATCACTCCGGTCGAGCCGGCCCACCTGTGGCGAAGTATGGCGAACATTAATATTTTTTTAAAATAATGATTTTAATTCTCTATTTCAGATTGTCGTTTACAAATACAGCGAATTTACAGAAACACGTGAGAACGAGTAGTAATCACCAAATTCAATTGAAACTTAGGTAAGTAATTTTTAAAACAATATATAATAACATAATAACATCACGCCGTTTTATCCCCGAAGGGGTAGGCCGAGGTGCACATTTCGGCACTTGATGCCACTGTACAGTGGCATCAAGTACATTGTACATGTAACACCCATTTTTCACTATTTATATTTTGAGTCCTATGTAATAGGGGGTGAGCCTATTGCCATATACCGGGCACAATTCCAGACTCCGTGGTAGTACTGAGAATTTTTAAAAACTTCGCCCGATCCGGGAATCGAACTCAAGACCCCTTGCCCGGCAGTCGCACTTGCGACCACTCGGCCAACGAGGCAGTCTTTTTTTTACGAGGCTTTTTTAAAAGAAAGAATATAACTTTTAATTGCAACGTCTGTTCAGTGACTAAAGGAAAAAAATTATCATCATCATCAAATTAGTATAGCAGTATTTCTTGGGGGATTTTGTTATAACATTTAACACCGAATCCCATGACCGACTTATGTACTTTTGACAATCTAAAAAATGGCGGACTTAATCTATTCTTATGTCTAGTTTGATAATTGTGTCTGTCAGACACTTTACTAAATAAATGTAGGGTTTTCCTAACATACATAATATTGGGCCTAGAGTAACCTCACTCACACGACGAAACATAACGCTGTGCTTGTTTCACTACAGTTTTCTACTCGGCCGTGGTATCACTTCGGTCAACATCAAGGTTACGGTTACCTAATGCCAAAGATAAATAAATTAAAAATATAATATTAATATTTTCAGAAAATTAACAGAAGTCCTACCGGACTCGGGTAATCCAGAGAAGCGTCAACAACACATAGACCAACATATTGAACAGATAAAGTGTTCAGTGAAGAAGTCCAGGCAACAGTACCCGTGTCCGCAGTGTGACAAGAAGTTCCAGTGGCGAGGGAACCTGCTTCGACATGTTCACAGTCATGTAGCTAGGTGAGATTTTATCTTAACGCATCTATTGGTCGCGGAGAACCTAACGGGTAACCGGGGCTCCGGCTCGACGTGCAGGAGAAGGAACGGGGTGGTGTTTAGTCAGTAAGAGTCTGACAAAATCTGTTACAATACTTATTTTTGCTTTTTAGTTGTTACATTTTATTTCTTATTACTTTTTTGGTTTTTTGAAGTCGGTTTTTTAAACGCAGTTTATTTTTTTTTTTTAGTATAGATAGTGACAGAAATATTTTTGAGAGCGTGTTAAAATTGAACTTGAACCATAAAGTTTTTAATGTATATCATGGTATTATTTACAGAGCCACTGGCAACTTAGTATGCAAGCCGTGTAATAGAACGTTTTCATCTATAGCGACATACCAACAACATATGAAGATAAGCAGGAAACATGTTAGCGAAAATGATTTCAAGTAAGTACACTCTACGCTCGCGTCACAAAATGATAAAAAGTACCCTATTATTTAATCCAGACTTCTAACTTTACGTCTGCAAAAATTGAAAGCAATCGGTTTAGTAGTTACGGCGTGAAAGTGGAACAAACAAACAAACTCACTTTCCGATTTATAATATAAGTAAGGAAAGTAAGGATACTGACTAAACTAAAAAGCATAAAAATAAAAACGACGTCGCATCGCAGTATTGTGTACGAGCCCTGACCCACCAGACATGATCGCGGTCGTAGGATAGCCTAGTCGGAGGATCCTACCAACTCAATTTTTTTTTTTGATGTAATAAATTGTTTATACTTGGCCCGCGGCAAAGTATTAGCACTTCATATGAAGGCCTTTCCTGTATGATCACGTTTATTTCACAGGTATATGTGCAGTGATTGTGGAAAGCGGTTCCCGAATAAAACACAATTAAAAGACCACGTCGATTGGGAACATTTGAAGAATTTCGTTCATAAGTGCGACCAATGTCAGAAGGTAAGTAAAATATACACCCTGATCTCCGAAACTGGTGGTTTATCAACATCATCAACAGCCTATAAATGCCCACTGCTGAGCAAAGCCTCTTCTCACACGGAGAAGGTTAGAGCATTAATCACCACGCTTGCTCAATGCGGGTTGGCGATTTCAAACTTATAATTAGAAATTATAAGTCCAGGTTTCCTCACGATGTTTTTCCTTCACCGTTTGTCAGTGGTGTCTAAATAATCTTAGAAAGTACATATAACTCGGAAAAAGTCACATTGGTACTTGCCGTTGGTAGGTTTCGAATCTGCACCCTCATGCACCTCCGGGACACCACGACGAACTGGTGGTTCGATTTTGAGAAATATTCTTGTATCTTGTATTGGAATCTTGTATTTATCCAACAACGACGACGTCGCGGTGAACCTAACGGGTACCCGGGGCTCCGGCTCGACGTGCAGGAGAAGGAACGGGGTGGTTTTTAGTCAGTAAGAGTCTGACACTCCCTCCCGCCTCACCCGGGCGGGAGCAGTCATTCGATGATTTTCCCCCCTTAAAAAAAAATCGAACAACGACTAGTATAGCAAATAATCTGTATGTACACCATGAAAGGGCATTGACTAAAATTGGTGCCTTTCTTTTTTATGGCGGCAGTCAAAGTCAAAGTCAAAGTCAAAATCATTTTCAAAGTCAAAGTCAAAATCATTTATTTCAATTAGACCAGAAAGCCACTTTTGAACGTCAACAATAAAATTAAAAGTGAAGCTATTTGCTCATTCCAAGGTGTAGATTCCTATGGAGAAGAACGAGCAAGAAACTCCATAGGTTACTCTTTTTCAATCAGGTTCACAATACAATTTACTAGTTACATAGTTTGCTGTTTGGATTGTGCGAGAACAATGTAACACTAAAATCCAGTCAAGAGTATTTTATACATAACATAACATAAAATCACGCCTCTTTATCCTCGAAGGGGTAGGCAGAGGTGCACACAGAAGTAACTCCCACTTTTCGCTATTTATGTTACGAGTCCTATGTAATAGGGGAGCCTATGGCCGGGCACATTTCCAGACTCCGTGCTACTACTGAGATTTTTTTTAAAAAACCCAGTAGTACTTTGCCCGACCTGGAAATCGAACCCGAGCTTGCCGAGTCGCACTTACGACCACTCGGCCAACGAGGCAGTCCTTTAGTATTTTTATTTATTTATTTTTTATTTATTTATAATTCATGGAGGACTTACAGCTTATAAAAATGGATAAAAATAACAATAGGCGTAGGTAACAATGAGCCAATAACAAGTCCTCACGTTTAGCATTTGGAATAAATTAATTAATATGGTGTGAGTACTATACAATATTAAAAATTTATATTTATTTATATTTATATTTATTTATACTATACAATATTATAAAGTTTATATTGATGATGTATTTCTCATTACAGGTATTGAAAAGCAAGACTTCTTTATATCTTCACAAACAAGTTGTTCATAGATCTGAAAATACCGAACATTTGTGTCACCATTGTGGGAGATCCTTCGCTGTGAGTATAACACTAATATTCTAGTATTTGTACTATATTTATATTTTTAATAATATAAGTATAGTAATATATTATTAACTAGCTGTGCCTGCGACTTCGTTCGCGTGGAATAGTGACTATGAGCAGCGTTTTTTTTTTAAATATATATTTATTTTTATTTTGGATTAAAAAAACAAACTACCGATTCCCATGGGAAACGGATGTTTTCCCGCGGTAAAAAGTAGTCTTTATGTTGCGCCAGGCTCTAAAATACGTCGGTACAAAATTTCAACCAAATCCGTCAAATAGTTGCGGAGATTAATGGTGCCTACATAGGCACCATTAATCTACATACATACATATGTATAAGCATAGAATAGTGTTCGACGTGATTCTTTAACTCGTCGAGTACCGGTTTTATAGACACAATCAAAGAACAATAGGTCGCGGTCACCGGTGACCGCTTGGTGTTTGACAGATTAATTTGACATAACTTTTTTATTTATGAACCGATTGACATGAAACAAACACTAAAGTACAACTGAAGCATACCACAATATATTCGTGAAAACCGCATCCCACTCGGATCAGCCGTTTCTGAGATTAGCGTGAACAGACAAACAGACAAAAAAATTTAATTACATTTTTGGGTTCGACATCGACATAACAATAACTCCTGCTATTTTTTTTATTTTTATTGTCAATGTACAGACAGCACTTTTCTACAATTTTATTATATGTATAGAAGATAGATATTCTAGTATTTGTAAATATTACTGGGTTTAAAAAAAAATCTCTGTGGTAGCACGGAGTCTGGAAATGTGCCCGGTATATAGCAATAGGGTCACCCCCTATTACATGGGACTCGTAATATAAATAGTGAAAAGTGGGTGTTACTTCTGTGTGCACCTCTACCTACCCCTTCGGGGATAAAAGGCGTGATGTTATGTTATGTTATGTAGTATTTGTATGCTTCACTGGCCGAGTGGTCGCGAGTGCTACTGCCGAGCCAGGTGTCTCGAGCAAAGTATTATTAGGTGTTTAATAAAATCTCTGTAGTAGCACGGAGTCTGGAATTGTGCCCGGTATATGGCAATAGGCTCACCCCCTATCTTTACATGCATAATTATAATAAATCTGTAGAAAAGTAATTTTTGTACATTGAAGATATTGACAAAGAAAGTAAAAGGTCTATAGTTGCTTAGGAAATTGTCGTTGTTCTAATTTGGTCGAAAAAGTATTGGCTTAAATTTGGTTTATTATTTTTTTTTATTTTTTAAAAACGTTGCCCCACACTAGGATTTTCTCCTGTGTCGTGGGTGGGTTTACAAACATACAAGTTCACATACACTTGACACCCAGACCCGGAACAACAATTTGTGGATCACACAAAGTGTTGTTCCGTGCGGGAATCGAACCCGTGACACGTTGCACGGCAGCCGGTTGCCCAGCCACCGCACCAACCGTGCAGTCGTCTGCAGTCGTCGGTTTCGTTTGGTTATTGGTTTGAAGTCCGATGTAAAGATAATACTTGATGTTTAAAAGTAGTTCCAAGTATTTACTTCTGAGTTTGAATAGTGCCAATCGTTACAGCGAGTGTAGATAATGGGATAAGTCACGGCCACGCACAGCTCTTTAAAATGTTGTTGGTTTTGTATATTGCTTTGATATTTTACTTTAAAAATGCTGATTTGCTTAGCTATATTTGATTAGCTATAAGATAATTCAATTTTCGTTGTTGACGTGTCAACGTCTTATAAATTGGTTTGCCGGGTGACACTTCAAGAAACTGCGTTACGCTCCGCCCACGTTATGCGCTCACAATGAGAGCGAGTGAGAGGCACGCGTCCCTTCCACTCGGGCATGGTTAGCCCGCCTAAGAGCGAGAGAGACAGAGCGAGAGAGAGAGAGAGTGAGAGAGATAGGTAAATTATTTTACCACTCAAAGTCGTTGTCACGTAAAACTTTCGCCCGTATACCGACTTTACAGGCAACCAATTTCTTTTACAGAACCAATCGAAGCTCCGCAACCACATGTTGGCGGTGCACAGCGGGCAGGCCGCGTACAAGTGCGCCACGTGCGGCGCGCGGTTCAGTTGGCTGTCCTGTCTGTCCAGGCACAACAAGAAACTGCATCCGCAGCCTGGTACTGCGTGACACTAGGGGACGTACATCACACATGCTACTGGTAGTCCGAGGCAGTGGCCCTGCAGCTGTAGCCAAATGCCATTTAGCGCTTGTCTACATGTAGAATAGAAAACTAAATTTTATGGAATTGACGTAAATTTTGACACAATTGTCAGTGTCATCCCCATACATTTTGATTACTACTCTCTCTGTAGACAAGCGCTAAAGTGGCGTTTGGCTAAAGGCCCTGTTCAGACCCCATGTCTCAACATCGCCGGGGAACGCGGGGGGGGGGGGGGCTCGCCGGCCGGTGTACAGCCGAGCCAGTCAGCGGTTGCACGCCTTTACGCACGGCTGCGCTTAGGCATTTATTCCCTTGTCCACATATTCCGTGTTTCTTGTATTTTCTTATAATAAAATTCTAATTCAATACCTACATTTTATACAGTCAACTCGAATTTTTTTTTTAATCTCATCGTCGAGATGACGTTGCGTTTAGGCGGCTGGTGGGCTTTCGAACTCGTGGTGCACTAAAATATTAAACTAACTAAAATATTAAAAATTAAAATATGCAACAAAACAAAAATTTACATAATATTTGTTTAATATTTTTTTACATTAAACTGTCAAACACCGCGAGGACACCGGTGACCGCAACCTATTGTTCTTTAATTGTGTCTATAATGACGGTACTCAAAGGGTTAAATCAGTCGCGGAGAACCTAACGGGTAACCGGGGCTCCGGCTCGACGTGCAGGAGAAGGAACGGGGTGGTTTTTAGTCAGTAAGAGTCTGACACTCCCTCCCGCCTCATCCAGGTTTTCTGTTATTAAAATTGGGTATTGTTTATATGAATTTATTTTCAAACTTATAATTAGGAATTATAAGCCCAGGTTTCCTCACGATGTTTTTCTTCATCGTTTGTCAGTGGTGTCTAAATAATCTTAGAAAGTACATATAACACGGAAAAAGTCACATTGGTACTTGCCGTTGGTAGGTTTCGAGCCACACCATCACGCATGAGAAGCGGGCGTCATAAAATGAATTAGAATATAGAACGTGATTTGAAAGGGGTGTCTTAATTTAATTTTCTTCATAAGTTAATTTTCTATCAGCTCACCTTTCCCTTTCTTGAGGAACTCAGGGCGAGAGGAGCAATTCGATGACGTTTCCCAATTTTTTTACTTTTTGACCGTTGCCCCACACTAGGATTTTCTCCTGTGTCGTGGGTGCGTTTACAAACATACAAGTTCACTTACACATAACACCCAGACCAGAAACAACAATTGGTGGATCATACAGAGTTGCTCCGTGCAGGAATCGAACCAGTTATATGTTGCGCGGCAGTCGGTTAACCACCCACTGCGTAACTGCAGTCCATTCGAACCGTGCAATGAAATTTAACTTTTGGGAAATCGTCATAAATTAGCTCTTCTGTAGAACTTCTATATATACTTACCTCTTTCGCAATAAGTAATATGACACCCTTATTCGATAAACAATTATTAGTACCTAGCTTCTGCCCGCGACTTCGTACGCGTAATCCCATTTTTTCCCGTCCCCGTTCGTGATTTTCGGTAAAAAGTAAAAAAAAAGTATTGGTTAAAAACAGTATCCTATGTCGGTCTCCTGGCTCTAAGCTACCTCCCTACCAATTTTCAGCCAAATCTATTCTGCCGTTCTTGAGTTATAAGTGGTGTAACTAACACGACTTTCTTTTATAATTATGTATAATATAGATTTCCATTAGAAATATTATTTTTGTTCTGAGACTTCGCTCAACAAACATTGTAACTTTTTGATTAAATAAATTTTTTTTTATATAAATCCGAGTTTCCGTTCCTTGACTTGTGCGATCGCGGCGATGTCGCGCAGCCCTCTGTGGTCCGAAATCAGTAGAGCTTTTCTCAGTATATTCACGTGAGTAACCCGCGATTTTAGTTAATTTAGTATGTCTCACGATAGTTATTTTACATACAGCTGCATTTACTTCGTTGGGATTTAAAACATGTTGTTACCTTAAAACTACACCAGCGCCCTCTAGGTTTGACAAAAATATTGTAAAATTGTATTAGGTATACTATGTCTGTATTGTAAATAAAAATATTTTGATATATTTGTGATTAAAATGACGCATGTTGGTACAATCTAATTCATATTTGTCTTATTTTACCCCTATAGACTTTCGCCAAGTTAAAACTTAAAAACATAACATCACGCCTTTTATCCCCGAAGGGGTAGGCAGAGGTGCACATTATGGCACTTAATGCCACCATACAACGTAACACCCACTTTTCACTATTTATGTTATGAGTCCCATGTAATAGGGGTTGAGCCTATTGCCATATACCGGGCACAATTCCAGACTCCGTACTACTACAGAGAATTTAACAAATAAACCCAGTAATACTTTCCCCGGTCCGGGAATTGGAACTCGAGGGGTCTCGCCCCATGCCTGGCAGTCGCACTTGCGACAACTCTGCCGAGGCAGTCAAAACTTAAAAATTGTATGCGAAATCTTACTATTTTTTGTCTATTTTTAAAACGCAACTATTTTTAAAATTAGCGTTTTCTTCTATACCGTATGCAAGAATAATTATTTAGTATGCAGGTAATAAAATAAAAAATGATTCAGTACAGAGACAGTAGCCATTGTTATACTAAATTGTATAGGTACTTTTATAATAACTATCGTGTGAAAATTTTTAAACTAAAATATTTAGTACGTAAATGTACATTCAGCCAAATCATTTAGTACGAAAGTAAGAAAACAAAGCTTGAGACAGTAACCACTGGTTGTCTATTGAGTCCACGAATGGTTACAAAAGATATGGCTTCGTTACAAAGCATAGAATATCAAAACTAGTAGAGCTTTTCTCAGTATTTTCACGTGAGTAACCCGCGATTTTTAATTAATTTAGCTACATTTGTCGGATACGCGAATTTATTCACTGCTTGTTCTGCAGATTCACACCATCTACGACGATATGACAGTCAAATCCAGAACAATACGTAACTTACGAATATTCATTGTGAAAAATAATATCTTTTACCAATTTTACTAACCAATATCGACTACGATTCTAATTTTATGTATTCCTATAGGTACCTACAAAAAAAGTCGTCGTAATAAAAATCAATGTCGATGTTTCATAAATCATATACATTTTTATTATTTTTAAAAATAATTCCGCCATCACATCACAGTGCAATGCGTTCAAAGCAATGATAAAAACAAAATATAAAAATGATTGGTTTTTTACGTGAAAATATGAAAACTGTAATTTTGTTGTCGTTATTAGGATATGGTGAGTGTCTATTGTTTGTTTGAGTCGCGGAGAACTTAACGGGTAACCGGGGCTCCGGCTCGACGTGCAAGAGAAGGAACGGGGTGGTTTTTAGTCAGTAAGAGTCTGACACTCCCTGCCGCCTCACCCAGGCGGGAAAAGTATTACGACGATTTTCCCCCTTAAAAAAAAATTGTTTGAACGCTCTATTCTCTGGAATTGTTGGTTCGAATTGGGTATTATTTTTGTGTCAGATAGTCCATTTATCGAGGAAGGCTATAGGCTATTAAGCATCACGCTATCACCAATAGGAGGCGAGCTGCGACTGAAACTATGCGGGATCTCGATTTTTCATGAGATAGACGGGTAAACGACCAGACGGATCACCTGATGGTTAGCAATCAGCGTTGCCTTGATTGCACGGTTGGTGCACAACGCGCAATGGGCAACCGGCTGCCGTGCAACGTGTCACGGGTTCGATTCCCGCACGGAACAACTCTTTGTGTGATCCACAAATTGTTGTTCCGGGTCTGGGTGTCATGTGTATGTGAACTTGTATGTTTGTAAACGCACACACGACACAGGAGACAAACCTAGTGTGGGGCAACGTTTTTTAAAAAAAAGGATAAAAGAAGAACTGACTGCCTCGTTGAGCGAGTGGTCGCAAGCGCGACTGCCGGGCAAGGGGTCTCGGGTTCGATTCCCGGGTCGGGCAAAGTATTACTGGGGTTTTTAAAAAATCTCAGTAGTAGCACGGAGTCTGGACTTGTGCCCGGTATATGGCAATAGGCTCACCCCCTATTACATGGGACTCATAACATAAATAGTGAAAAGTGGGTGTTACATTGTACAGTGGCATAATGTGCACCTCTGCCTACCCCTTCGGGGGTAAAAGGCGTGATGTTATGTTATGTTATGATGAAAGAAAAAAACCTATGGACACTTGCAACACCTTGTATTACAAAGGTTTCCGGCCTTGTATGCCTTCAGTTACTGCGTTCCTCTTTATAATATCAGTAAGCATAGTGACAAAAACAAAATAAATAAAATGATAATTGACGCCATTTTAAAAATGTCTTGCAGCCTCGTCAGCAGCCAGCGTTGACCCTTCCCCAAGAAGCGTGAATGTAGCTTTAGAAACATCGTTTTTATTTCAACCAAAAGATATTAGAGAGAACATAAAATTCGTTAAAAATATAAAAGATTTCTTAGACAAACTGTATGCTATGTTGGCACCACAGCTTAAAGATTATGACAGTCCCCAAAATCCAACAGGATCAAAACAATTTAGGTCAGATACTACCCAACAAACCGACAATCGGCGTTTAGATTTCTTAATCTTGTTCAAAGAATTGTGTGATAATATGGCCAATGCATCTTCGTCTACATTTGATCATGCACTATCAATAATAAAGAAAGAAATGTATCAAATTGTTGACGCAAATCAGTATATGTTAAAAGAAATAATACCTGACAAAAATATGAAGAAAATCGTAAAGGATTCATATGACACTCTTCATAATACGACATATAATGTTAAACATTGTCATAGAAACCCCACATTCCAGCGATTCGCTAAAAAAATGGACAGAATCTATTCACAGGAAGATTTGAAAAAGCTACTTAAATATTTGAGGAAATTCAATAAAGCTATTGATATAAACAGTAAATCGGATGCGTCTAGAATTGTAAAAGAATTTATACAATTTGGTGTAATTGATAAATATAATGACCTAAATGTGCC